ATGTAGAAATTTTTGAAATGGTGTATCTTTGGCTATGTGTATTTTCACCCAAAAAAAAAGGTTGAGAAGTTAGATGGTTGACATGTTGTGGGGTTGTTAACCAGTGTCATAAAACAATATGTGTACTACTGTTTCATGAGAAACTATTTGTTCTGTAAGCCTTCACCTGAAGTACAATAAAAAAATTTAAAAAAAAACTTCCAGTAATGGTAGCTGGACGCCACTGAGTTCTTCTGGTCTCATGGCAAAGGAGGCAGTTATTCACGGAGGCAATTAGCTACACATTCCATATCCTCTTCCTATTTCTGGCTCTTCTTCTTCCTCTATTGCTCCAGGGGAATAGAGACCAACTGTCATGCCTTGGATGGCCGATTGCAAGATTTTAAGATTCCAGGCGCTATGCAACAAACTAGGAGGTAAAACAGAAGTACTAAGCATGTTATTAGGCCAGTTAATTGAGATGTCCCATAAAACCATGATCCTAACCCTCCAAACCAAGGAACCAAATCCCATGAGGTTTTTGGTTGTACATAAGCAGCCTCAGCAGCTACTTTTTTTTTCTTTTGTCATTTTTGTAAATATATTTATCTCACAACTTTTGCCAGTTCAGCTTCTTATAGGTGTACAACTTAACTGACAGCAATTACAATAATCGACTGTGCAATCCTTCCCTTAGTCAATGTGATTTTTCCATCATTGTTAACCCTCCTCCCCTTTTCTCCTTCCCTCCTGCCCCTAGTAACCACTAACAAACTTTGGTCTCTAAACATTTGCCTTTTCTTGCCTTTTTATGTAAGTGAGGTCATACAATCTTTGTCCTTCTGTGACTGACTTATTTCATTCAGCATAATGTCTTTAAGCTCCATCCATTTTGTAGCATGTGTCAAGACTTTGTTTCTTCTACTGGCTGAGTAGTATTCCATTGTATGTATGTGCCACATTTTGTTTATCTATTCATCTGTTGATGGGCGTTTAGGTTGTTTCCACCTTTTGGCTATTGTGAATAGTGCTGCAGTGGGCTCTGGTGTACAAGTCACTGTTGAGTCTCTGCTCTCTAGTCTTCTGGGTATATACCTAGCAGTGGAATTGCTGGATCAGATGGCAGTGGTGTCACTAGGGTTGGTGTCACCCAGTGCAATAACTCATGGTGTCACCCCCCTCCCCATGGACTTTCTCCCCTGATGCCAGCAGAGACCATTACTGCGGGTGGGTAGGGGATGCAGATCACAAGGCACCCTGGTGCCAAGAACCCTGTGGCCCAGGCAGGAGCCAGAGTGCCCAGGGTGGGGGAACCCTGGGCTCAAAGCACTGCCAGGGGAACTGGAATGGAGCAGGCATGGGCCAGGGTAAGCCCAGGAGTGCAGGCCAGCACCCAACCTCTGCCTGCAGAGCCTAGGAGCCACATCAGAACATGGCTCTGCACCTGGTGGGCACAGGGGCAACCTGCAGGGGGCTCCGGGGCACCGCTGAGTGGAGGTGGAGGGGCAGCAGGAGTTGCAGGCACCCCTTCTCTTGTCCAATTGGCCTTGCTGCCTCCTCCCAGGCTGCGTGGTGAAAACACTGCACAAAAATTTTATAGACAGCCATTTTGGTGTCACCCCCTCTGACAGTGTCACCTGGTGCCATCTGCATCTTCCTGAAGATGCCACTGGATAGCTCTATTTTTTGTTTTTTTGAGGACCTTCCACACTGTTTTCCACAATGACTGTACCATTTTGCATTCCCACCAGCAAGGGATAAGGGTTCCAGTTTCCCCACATCCTCACCAACATTTGTTATTTTCTTTTCTTTTTTTGTATCTTAGCCATCCCACCTGGTTATCGTTATTATTGTACTATAGTTACACAAGATGTTGCCACTGGAAAAAATTGGATGAAGGCTACACAGGACCTCTCTGTACAATTTTTTTTGCAACATCCTATGAATCTATAACTATTACAAAATATAAGTTTAAAAAAATAACCTAAGTGACATTATTATTATTTGTAGAAAGGACCTGTAGATGAAACTGGTTGGGTCATTAAAAACGTCCTGTCCCTGCCTATTGTCAACAAGAAAGAAGACATTGTGGGAGTAGCTACGTTTTACAACAGGAAGGATGGAAAACCTTTTGACGAATATGATGAACACATTACTGAGGTAAGTGCAATAATAAAATAATGGAGGTAAATGTAATTCATGAAACAATAGAGGATGCATAATTATGTTGTTATTCTGGAATAACAGTTTTGAAGGGCAGTTAAGAAATAAGTCACACATGGTTGCGATCAACATATTGTCATTGTGTCATTTCTGTTTTCTGACTTCAATGAAGTGCAAAATTCTCCACCAAAGGGGAAAATTTTGTGTTAACCAAAATTCTTTATGATACTAGGAAATGAGGAGAGATTTCAATCTCTTTTCAACTCTTCTTTCCTCCTTCTTCTATTCCGCCTCATTCTTGCTCTCACGCTTCCCCTCTGTCTAATTTTCAGGCCCTGCTTTTTTTTCCCAGATGTTGGTAATTCCTCTCCCCTAATAAAGTATCCGTGGTGTGTCAGTGATAAACAAATGTTGACCCAAATCCTGTGTGCCAAATTGTTCTAATAAAACTAGCTAGGAAAGGAAACCAAACTTCAATTAAAGTCTTAATGTGCTTTTCAGAGGAGTCCCTGGGGGGTGCAAATGGTTAAAGTGCTTGGCTTCTAACCCAAAGGTTGGAGGCTCAGGTCCACCCAGAGGGACCTTGGAAGAAAGGCCTGGCAATCTACTTCCAAAAAATGAGCCACTGAAAACCCTATGCAGCACATTTCTGCTCTGTCACACATAGGGTCACCATGAGCCGGAGTCAACTGGAAGGCAACTGGTATTTGATTTTCAGAAGCTATAATTATGTAACTCTCAATGTATATGAAGAGACAAAATCATTAATTAGTTTTCACAATTCTCCGCCTACTCACTCTTCCCCCATGTTTCCTCTCTAGTGCCTTCAGTTTCCCAAAACTCTTGTGATTATTCTCTTCCTAAATCTGTTCTGGATGCTGTACTCACACCAAGGTGGAAATGGCTAATTAACAATTTACTCCACCTGAGATAATTTACATGCAAACAAGGGTCCAAGTCTTAAAATAATTATGTCTAAGGGTGAGATTTCAGGTTGTGGTCAACTAGCAGGACAGATGCTTCTGAAATGGCCTAGTTTAAAGCTTCTCACACTTTAATGTGCATAGGAATCACCTGGAGATCTTGTTAAAATATAGGTTCTGATTCAACAGGTCTGGGACTGGAGTGAGGAGACAAGATTTTGCATTTTTAACAAGCTCCTGGGTGATACAGGCACTCCTAATCTGAAGACTACACTTTGAAAAGCAAGCGCTTAGTGAATTTTATTGTCTGTGATTGAGTATTAACATGCTTTTTCCTAGATCAAAATATGGTACTGGGTTGTTAAAGAAGCCATGGTGACATAGCAGTTAAGCGCTCAGCCACTAATCCAAAATTTGGTGGTTTGAACCCACTAGCTGCTCCATGGGAGAAAGATATGGCAGTCTGCTTCTGTAGCCTTGGAAACCCCATGGGGCAGTTCTACTCTGTCCTGTAGGGTCGCTATGAGTTGGACAGCAACAGGCTTTTGGTTTACAGGGTTGTTGATAGTGGAAGGGAGACTAACTGGTAGAAATGCCTATAGATGTTGGCCTCCAAATCAACTTTCAGTTAATTTTAGAGAATCTGAATCACCTCTTATCCATTTCAGACTCTCACACAATTTCTTGGATGGTCTCTTTTAAATACTGACACCTATGAGAAAATGAATAAACTGGAAAACAAAAAAGACATTGCTCAGGAAATGCTCATGAACCACACCAAAGCCACTCCTGATGAAATTGAGTCTATATTGGTAAGTGAGAAATTCAGTCCTGTAGACATTAGGTGGTATCTAACCAGTGCTTCTGCAATTCACCCATTTACCCATGGGTCTGACAAATGAGAAGCAATAGGTTTAGTCCTGGACTATGGCTCCTCTCCACAGAGAAGGTGGAGTTGAGGGAGTACCTGCGTGGCCCAGTGTACACCCATTCTGGACTTCCAAACTGCTTTGTTGTAACAGCTCCTGAATCCACAGAAGCCAGAGCAGTGACACCTAGATTCAAGTGTGTTAGCAAGGGAAAAAAAAATTACAGGAGGGGAAATGTATCAGTAAGCTATTGCCATAATAATGCTGCATAGCAACAACCATTACATCTCAGTAGTGTACAACAAGCATTTATTCCTCACTCATTCATTTGTGGGTTGACCAAGCTTTGATTGATCTTGGCTGGCCTGGCTCCAAATTGTAAAGTGGACCTAGATTTGCTCTACATGTCCCTCATCCTCCTTGGACCAGCAGCTGCCTGATTGATGTTCTTCTCATGGTGATGGAGAAGTGCAGGAGAGCAAGCCCAACTGTGGCAGCACATGTGATCAAGTCTTTGATCACATCACATTCATTAACATCCTTATTGGTCAAAGCAAGTCACATGGGCAAGACCAACATCCTGGATGATGGGGGAGTGAGTGGATATTTGATAACAGGATTTTAATCATCATAAGATGAAGGGAAAATATACACCCAATACCTCCATTCCTTTTATTTTCCTAGCTCTTAGAGTGTGTAGGTGTGGTTTTGCTGTTTTTTTTTTTGGTTTGTTTTCAGTTGGTTTTGCTGGGTGGTTTGGGAGTTAAGAGAAGGTTGATTTGAGAGTTTGGAGAGAAGAATGTCTGGGGGGATGAAGGGGAATTGCTATAAGCTAATAGAAAAACAAATGTAAGCTGTTCATTTTTCTGTTTCTTTCCCCTTTCCTTCGTTCCTCCTTCCCTTTCTTCCTCCCTCCCTCCTCCCTCCCTTCCTTCCTTCTTGTCTTAATTTCTTAGGGCTGCTGTAAAAAAATACCAAGTGGGTAGCTTAAAGAACAGAAATTTATTGTCTCACAGTTCTGTAGGCTAGGAGTCCAAATTCAGGGCATCAGCAGGGCCATGCTGCCAGTCTGCTCTAGGGGAAGATCCTTCCCTGTCTCTTCCAGTTTCTGGTAGCCCTGATATCCCGGTGTTTCTTGGCATTCCTGGGCTTTTACATGCATCCTCACATGGCATCTGTCTTTCCCCTGTGTCTCCTCTTGTCTGTTGTCCCCTTTATAAAACACCACTCAGAAAGGATTAGGACCCACCCTACTCAGGTATAACCTTGTTGACTGAAATCATTTTCAAAGAAAGACCTGATTTCCAAGGTCACATTCACAGGTACAAGAGTTAGGACTTCAACATATCTTTTTTGGGGGACACAATTCAATCCATAACACCTATACAGAAATAAGCCACCCCTCTTTCTTTTCTTTTCTTTTCTTTTTTTAAGACAGCTACTGTTACATTTTGGGGAAATAGAGAAATCAATTAAATGACATTATTTCTTGTATAAAACGTTTCATAATCGTGTGCTACAAGTCTTCTTTGCAGCCAGACTACATCTTTGTCACAGGACTCATTATAGCATATTTTAAGTATATTTTAATTGTTTTTAATAGTAGAGGAATCAAATAAAAATCTTCTCACTTCATAGGAATTTCACACCTCAATTGCTTTGACTTTTTAGAAATTTAAAGAGAAGTTAAATATAGATGTAATTGAAGACTGTGAAGAAAAACCACTTGTCACAATTTTAGTAAGTATTTTCCATCCATCCTAAATGTCTTTTTAACAAAAGGTATTAGAACATACTGATGTTGGGTTTCCTTTTCTCTGAGAACTTTAAGGCTAAAAAAAAAGAAAATTTCTCCCAAAGACTGACCTACTAGTTCCCTACTTTTCTACTTCTTGCCCCCTTACAGTTCAAGCCACACAGATAAATTAGAATCACAACTAAATTAGATTACTGCATAAGGAGCCCTGGTGGCACAGTGATTACGCATTTGGCTGCTAACCAAAAGGTGGGCAGTTTGAATCTACCAGCCGCTCCTTGGAAACCCTATGAGGAAATTCTACTCTGTCCTAAAGGGTCACTATGAGTCAGAATCAACTTGACAACCACAGGTTTTGTTTGTTCGTTTTTTTTTTAATAAGGAACTTCAGGCATAGAATATAGGGATACCATGGTCTGCTTTATTTCAATAGTTTGAATTGCAACATGGCCATCCCAGAGAACACGACAGAGTTGTAGTACATTGACCCTTCTAGATTCAATTAAGGCACCCTGTTGGCACAGTGATTAAAGTGTTCAGCTGGTAACCAAAAGGGCGGTGGTTTCAAGCCACCAATTACTCCGTGGGAGAAAGATGTGGCAGTCTGCTTCTGTAAAGATTTACAACCTTAGAACCCTATAGTGAGTGGGCAGTTCTACTCTGTCCTATAGAGTCACTATAGGAACCGACTTGACAGTGGTGGGTTTGGTTTTGTTAGGCACAATTATTGTCTGCCATCTCTAGCTTTTCTTCTGGAATCTGGAGGAATTCAGCTCTTTTCTATTGTTGCTAATAGGGCCACCCCTATTACTTCTGTTTGAAATTAACCTCACTTCCATTTCATTAATGTCGTCCTTTTTTGTGTCCAATCTACTGTTAAACCCATCCAATAAATCCTTAATTTTAGAGATTCTCTTTTTCTGTTCTAGAATGTCCATTTAATTATTTTTTATAGATTCCAAATTTGTGTTGAAAATTTCCATTATTTTATCTTTTCTCTATTTTTTTAAATTTATTGATCATATCAAAAAAACACCAAACCCATTGCTGTCGATTTGATTTTGACTCACAGTGACCCTATAGGACAGAGTAGAACTGCCCATGTGGTTTCCATGGAGCACCTGGTGGATTCGAACTGCTGGCTTTTTGGTTAGAAGCCATAGCTCTTAACTACTGTGCCACCAGGGTTTCTTTATTGATCATAGTTGCTTTAAAGTTTCTATTTCAATACCTGAATTACCCATAGGTTTGGCTCTACTGTCTATTTCACTCTTGGGTTTCAGTCATTTGATCCTGTTTTAAAGCATGCTTCATACTTTTTTAATTGAAAACTGGACACTGTGAACTAAAACTTGTAGGGACTCTGGGTAATATTATCTTCCTGCAAAGAGGCTTACATTTTCTTCTGGCAGATGAACAGAGTTGGTTTTAGACTTTAGGGACTATCTACTTCAGTTTTGCCCTTACTACCAGGGTGGAGTCCTTATGCCTAGAGCCTAGCCGATCTGGGATCTCAGCTGAATGCCTGGGATATTTACCAAGGCTCCTCAACCTTGAGATCATGGCCTGGTTTATTTCAATAGCTTTGGGTTGCAACATGGCCATCCCAGAGAACACGACAGAGCTGTAGTACGTAGACCCTTCTAGGCATAATTACTGTCTGCCATCTCTAGCTTTTCTTCTGGAGTCTGGAGGAATTCATCTGACTGAAATAATACCACATTTATTTCCCTCACTAATTGCCTCATCCTGTTTTACACTGCCCTTTCCAACCTTTGATGTAAGTGCTCGTCTTTCTAAACCAAATCACGTTAAACTTCTCACCTCCCCTTACCATTTACCTATCTTTTATGGGCTCTATTGCTCCCTCCTGACCCTTGCCTCTGCCGTCATAGAACCATCAGTCTTTGACCCCTTTTGAGGGCTCTGTTCTCCCTCTGCATGTTTTTGTGTCACCTGAGGCTCTCTCTCTTCCTAGTCTCCTTGGCTCCATCTCTGGGCACCATCCTGTCACACCTGGCCAGAAGAAGATCCTTCCTTCTCCTTAATTGCCCTTAACAATATACATATTATTGTAAAACAACAAAACTTTAGTTGGAATCCATGAGACTTTAGAAATTTTCTAGTTCCCTGTTTGGAGGAAAAAGGACCTTATGTTGGAGAAACAGAAAAATAGGCAAAGGACCTGTAGGTCTTCACCAAAACAGCCTTTATGAATGCAAAGTCTGCTCTGGGCTAATCCCAAATCATAGCTGCATAAAACTATAGACACTCAAAACAAACAAAAAACCCAAACACAAATATTTTAGAAGTGTTCTCCAGAATTATCTTGACACAATTTCCCAGCTACATAATTATTTGTCCATCTCTGCTTACCATGATTTTTTTCTCTAAGTATGTACATTAATCAGGTGTAAGGAAGGCCTGGTTCTCTTTTTATAGGTGTAGCGACAGGCACATCTCTCTCTATGGTGGGAAGGGCTAGGGTATCAATGCACTGACTTAGGCAAAAGGGGTGAGGAAAGTTTTCCTCCTACACTTCCGCTTTCTAGGATCTCTCAGGTCACTCATAGATGCTCTGCAACTAACATTAACCAGACCACAGAGATGGAAAGGACTTCCCACAGAAGGGCCTCATTCACTCATCCTTTATTCACTTTGTTTTTTCTTTCATGCAGTAATTATGAGATCAGGGCAGATTATCCAATAGGCTAGGTAAACACAGTGCTTACCCTGCTTACCAGATCATCTGTGTAGTGAAAATTTCATACTTTTTCACCACATACAAAGAGTCTGCTTCTAGATATGGCTGGCATCGGTCTCTCTTCCAACCCCACAGCACCTTCTTACAGAATGAAAGCCTCTTTTCAAATTTACAATCCCTGACAGGGACAGACTACCCAGTAAGCAAGGTAAGCACGGGCTTAAATGTGCTTTCTTACTCATCTGTAGTGAACAATTTCACATGGGTTTCGCCACTACAGATTCCAAAAATGCATTGCTGTTGAGCTGATTCTGACTCATATAGACCCTATAGGACAGAGTAGAACTGCCCCATAGGGTTTCCAAGGAGTGGCTGGTGTATTCAAATCTCCAACCTTTCGGTTTGCAGCCCAGCTCTTAACCACTGCACCACCAGGGCTCACTACAGATTAGTAAGAAATTGTTCTTGCTTATTGGGTAATCAGCCCCTGTATGAGACATCCTATAATAATTATTGAGATGTACTATGATACAGGAAGGTCTCTGGGTGGCAGAAATGGTTTGTGCACATCTACTAACCTAAAGTTTGGTAGTTCAAACCCCCCCAACACCCCCACAGAAGAAAGACTTAGCAATCTGCTTCTGTAAAGATTGCAACCACGAAAACCCTACGAAACAGCTCTACTCTGTAACACATGAGGTCATCATAAGTTGAAACCAATTTGACCACAGTGGGTTATAATACAGGAGTTCCTGGGTGGTGCAAACAATTAACCCACCCAGTTGCTAACAGAAAAGTTGGGGTTTGAATCCACCCAGAGGCACCCCAGAAGAAAGGCCTGGTGATCTACTTCTGAAAAATTAGCCATTAAAAGCCCTATGGAGCGCAGTTTTACTCTAACGTATATGGGGTCTCCATGAGTCGGAATTGGCTCGACAGCAACTGGCTTTATAAGAAATGATGTTAGGGTGCTAAGGACAAAAATATATTATGACATTATGCTCTGGTTGTCATCTGGTTCAAGAAGCCCCCTGTTTATTAGGGAGACAAATATACAAGCCCTGACACTACCCTGCATAGGTGTGTTCACAGTGTAGAATGCCAGGAGACCAAGGGCCTGATTCTAGGCCAAGAAGATGATACTGTCACAGAGATAATCACCATGGTACTGAGGCTTGAAGGGAAGCAGGAGTTAGCCAGGCAGAGATTGATGATGGCGGGTGCGGGGCTGGAGATGGGAAGGGCAGGCAACGACACCCTGGGGCAAAACTTAAAAACAGTACAGAGGCTCTGTAACAGAGCAAGGGATGGAGACAAGATAGCACATTGTCTTAGGGACACAAAGGCAGCTGGGTGCAGCTGAAGCATCAGTGGGCAGAGGACAGAAGTGGCCTGTGAGGCTGACATGGAGGCAGGACAGGACCATGCTGGGCCTGCACGACAGGAGCTGGAAAGTGACCTGATCCAATGTCACTTTGGACATAGAGCAGCTGGAGGAGCCAGTGTGGACCAGGCAGCCCGGAGTGGGGCCACTTTATAGCCAAGTGAGATGGCTGCAGGCGAAAGCTTCCTCCTCTACTCCATTACTTTCACCATGTCACTCCTGCAGTAAGGGGTCAGCCTGGGGAAGCTGGAGTTCCTACTTACTGGACCAATGAGAAACCTTTCAAATGAATTTTTTATAAGGATCAGCACAAAGCTGTTTCCTATGAGGGGGAGGTTAAAGACATTCCAAATGTCTTAACTTTTCCCAGCTGCTATACCACTCCATCATCTCTAACATCAACTACTCCCTCTCACCTCACTACTCTCCCTCGTATCTTTGGGTTCCCTAATTCACTGCAATGTCTCACAGAACTCACAAACCATATAAAGGAAATGGCACACGCAGTTGTGGAGGCTGGCAAGTCCCAAATTCATGGGTTAGGCATAGACTTATCCCTGGCCCTCAGTCTCCCAAAGGCATTCAGCTTTCTCACTCTGTGGGCCGGGATGCCCACTGCGCCATCTCATGTGGGTCTCTGCTGGGGGTCTCTGCTTTTTGGTGGTGGTGGCCTCTGCTTTCTGCTCTGGAATTGGCTCTCTTTTAAGGCAAAACTGACCAATCCTTTCGGTGGGCCACAAGTATCTTATTTGCACAGCCCCACCCAATCACCTGGGTGGGAGTCACAAGACCATGGCTAGAAAGGCCACATACAAAAGTAATTAATCGCACCACACCTTTATTTTTATCAACCTCTCTGTATCACAGACTTAAAACAGTTGACCTTAAACTGTGTTTTGTTGTTAGGTGCCATCAAGTCAATCCGACACGGAGCAACCCCATGTGACAGAGTAGAACTGTTCCATAGGGTTTTCTTGGCTGGAATCTTTACAGAAGCTTATTGCCAGGTCTTTCTCCAGCAGAATCTTTTGGTTAGCATACAAGAGCTTAGCCACTGTGCCACCAGGGCTCCTTAGCTCTGTTTTACAGCATTATTTCATTGGCTCACCTGGGACAGAAAACGTGGCCGGCAAGTCACAACTCTGAGAACTTCTTCCTGTTAAAATGCCCATTTACACATTAGTGTGACTGATCCTGCAGATGTGTATGGCACCAAAAAACATTTTCATGTTTTATCTTTACCTAACACTCTGAGATCTGTGGGGCAGACACAACCCGCTGCAGAGAGGCTGTGTGGCAAGGGGTAGCCACGGCCTGCAACTTTCTCAACCTCTACCCTGAATTTTAGTCAGAATCAACTCCAAGGCAACAGGTGGTAGATTTTTAAGAGATGTTCTTAAATCTGTCTCTCCCCACGAGAGTGTATGTTTCCGGGGGCAGTGACTATGTCTCTTTTCTTCATTGCTTTATCCATAATGTCTAGAACACATAGCAGGTACCATAATAGGTTGTGAGGGAAGTGAATTATCTTCCCTACTTTTTACCCTCTTCAGTACAGTGTTAAGGATATGGTATGTACTCAGAAAAGATTGTTTACTGAATATTTCTTGAATAAGAAAAATGAGAAGTTGAGTATTGAAGAGTGCATAAGGCTGCTGATAACTAAACATTTTATTTTGCATCATAGAAAGAAAACAGGCCAGTGGAGTCGGATTTGGAATTGAATCCCATCATTTAGAAAGTTTCTTAATATAGCAGAATCTCAGTTTCACCATCTGTAAAATGGGGATAATTTTACAGATTCATCATGAGGATGATATATGTAAACCGTAAAATGAGGATAATTTTGCAGGTTTATTGTGAGGATGATATATGTAAACCGTAAAATGAGGATAATTTTGCAGGTTTATTGTGAGGATGATATATGTAAACCACATAACCCAGTGCCTGGCACATAGGGACTCAATGAAGTCTGTGTGGAATTCTTTTGTTGTAATTTTGTTTTATAACAGATTTTGTGTATGTGCACATAAAGGAAAAAAAGTTGAATTAATCTGAAACAATCCATCCTTGTTTCAACAGAAAGAGGACTTGCCAGACCCAAAGAAAGTAGAACTGTATGAATTTCACTTTAGTGACTTCCCCATTACCGAGCATGGATTGATTAAGTGTGGACTACGACTATTCTTTGAAATAAATGTGGTGGAGAAATTCAAAGTGCCCATAGAGGTCCGGTGGTATTTAACTAATGAAAATACTGTGTGATTCTGCTGCTGTACTTCACAAGTATTTTCTATGGTTCAAAAAGTAACTTCAGTTTGGATTTTAAATGATTATTAACTTTGTAAACATATCAGCAGAAACCCTGTAAACAAGACAGACATATCTTTTTAGATAAGATTGTTACAAATCTTCTAACCTTTAGAATTCGATTCCAAAGTCTGAATGGTAGTGTCTTCTTTCGGTAACAGGTTCTTACCAGATGGATGTACACCGTGAGAAAAGGGTACCGCTCTGTCACTTACCACAACTGGCGGCATGGATTCAACGTGGGGCAGACCATGTTTACTTTGCTGATGGTAGGTACCAGTTAAACCAGTTGCCATCATGTTAATTCCAACTCATGGAGACGCCATGTGTGTCAGAGCAGAGCTGTGCTCCATAGGGTTTTCAACAGCTGATTTTTCAGAAGTAGATCTCCAGGACTTTCTTTTGAGGCACCTCTGGGTGGATTCAAACCACCAACCTTTCCATTAGCAGCTGAGAGCTCAACTTTTTGCACCACCCAGGGAATTCAATGGTAGGTACCAAAACCAAACCAAAACTGTTGCTGTTGATTCCGACTCAGCATTGTAAATAACTGTAAACCTGCAAAATTCCCACTTGAGCATGGTGCAAAATGGATATAATCCATTATTTTAGATCAGTAATTTTGGAAATCATGAGCACAACCCCATAAACTGCAAGCCCCTGTGCAGATGATCCCAGAGAACGTGGGTGTCTCTGGGCACTTGGCTGGATTATCACTTTAACATTCATTCACCTGCTGGGTTTTGTACTTGCCCAGATGAGCTACGATACTTACAAGAAATAAGGCCAACTTGCTCTAAAAACATGGTAGGTTCTCTTCTCTGTTGCGGGCAGGCTCCATGGCACTTGGTGTGTTGTTGTTGTTAGTTGCGGTCAAGTTGGCTCCAACTCATAGAGACCTTATGTATAACAGAACAAAACGTTGCCCAGTCCTGTGCTTGGTGTAGAAGTGTATTAATCCAAATAAATATATATATATATATATATGTATTTTTAGACAGGAGGACTAAAGAAATACTATACGGATCTTGAAGCCTTTGCCATGCTCGCTGCTGCTTTCTGCCATGACATCGACCACAGAGGCACCAATAATTTGTATCAGATGAAGTAAGTGAACACACACCACAATGCTGACCCGGACTGGTGGACGTGTTAAGTCACTTAGGGGGGAGAAGAAAACTCTTCTCTCAGTCCCTTAGCCCATGTTTAGTGATCTCAGGGCCATGTTCTCTTCCTTTCTGTCTTCCTCCCTGGGTGCTTGGACCCCCATTTCCATTAGCAAATGTGTCCCTACCTTATTTGTACACACCATCACTGTTTTTTTCTTTTCAAGTTTTTTTTTTTTTTAATCAAAGTATTGGATTCATATATTAAAGTGCAGAGAGTGCATTATCTTGGGTTTAATGGATTTTTACACTCGTACACCTGGGTAACACTACCCAGCTCAAGCTAGAGAACACTACCTTTCACTTCCCTGGTCCTTTTGCTTCTACCAAACTCTCTTCCACTTAAACATCACTGTCATCTTCCTCTCAGTCCTATGTAGGAAGCACAGAGTAGGTATGCAAATATTTGCTAAAATTAGAATGCATTATAATATTGATAGTCTAATCATTCTCTAACTAGTTTATCAGCCCTGTCAATGACTCCTCCCTCCCTAAATTTCTGTTGTCTCTGAACTAAAATGAGACTTTTCTACTAAAGCTGCCACCCAAGTTTCTGATTTCTTTTTCCCTTAAAATTATTTATTCCACATTTCCATGACAAAGTCTTCACATAAATCTGTACAGACCTTTTGGCCTTAGCCTCTTTCCACCTGTTCTTCATTTAACCTTTCAATTTTCAGTATCCCTTTCCAGACCTCTATCAGGACGTGTTGAAGAAAGACAGGACACCAAAGACTGAGGTCCCCACTTACATAAAGCTGTGATATAACCATTAGCAAATGGGAAGCTTAAGTTGATGTCACTGTCTTGGGGGAGGAAAGAAATGTTACTGCATAGTGATTTTCATTTTGGTGCCTGGAAATTCTTAATTAACATTTCCTATGCAAATAATCTACAGCTTCAACAGGTTTGCTACACCTTCTATAAATCATAGTCCACTACAGTAAGCTCCAGGGAACTTAAAGATTTTAGATGCAGGGTTAGACATCCTACTTTAAACAATTCACTCATTTATGCATTCAGCAAATTAGGTTTCTTTTAAGGATTGGTTTCTTTAAAAAGAGCATTTTCTCATCTTCTAAATCTAAAAAACCCTTTACAAGATGATATTTTTGACCACTTTATAGATGTGGGGTGATGAAAAAAAATTCTTACAATGGTAAAGACTCTATATTGTATGGACTTATGTGTAATAAGTATCTATGTTGTTAGTTGCCGTTGAGTCAATTCCGACACATGGTGACCTTATGTGTGCAGAGTAGAACTGCTCTATAGGGTTTTCAAGCCTGTGACTTTTCGGAAGCAGATCGCCAGGTCTGTCTTCCGAAGCCCCTCCAGGTAGGTTCGAATCACCAACCTTTCAGCTAGTAGTTGAGTGCTTAGCCACTTGCTCCGCCTAGGGGCTCCTTAAGCAGCTATAATGCTGGCATATCCTTTTCTTCCTAGATCCGCATCTCCATTGGCAAGGCTTCATGGATCTTCCATTTTGGAGAGGCACCACCTGGAGTACAGTAAGACTCTACTGCAGGATGAGGTACGGGAGACTCTCATGAGCTCTGGATCAAAGCTCTAACCCAAAAAAATGTTTGGAATTGGATGAACTTGAATTATGGCATCGACAACATATACCCCTTATCAAAGTCAATTGATAGAAACTGCTCTTTTGCAAGTTTTGAACAACCAAGTTGGAAGTAGCTGAGATAGAGGAGAAAAAGCCGTGGAATTAAAATATAAGGATTTGGGTTCAAAACTCAAACCTGTGTAACCTTAGGAAAGTCATAGAATTTCCATGGGTCTGTGGGAGAACAAAGAAAAAGCTTATGGTGGATGTGACAGGGCTTTGTGCACCCAAAGGTATGTTTAAACATGAAGGGGAAAGGAGGCGACCCAGCCACTGATTTACTTATTCATTCAATCAGTATTTACTGAGACCTGCCAGTCTGGAGCACTCGCTGCCAAGCATGGTGCATACCTTGAGAAAGTCAAGTTTAGTACAGGAAAGAAGATATGAATCAGGATATAAGACAGTATCGGATATCTGCCATCTGAGAGGCACTGAGCAACACTCTCAGCGTTCCAGAGGGCAATGATATATTCTGTGAGGACTGGGGCAGGGGAGACGAGAGAGAAAAGGTGAGATCAGGGATAGCTTTATGCAGGATGTGGCTTTGAGCTTGGTCTTGAATTCACTATGGTTTCCATATAACATGCACTATTAACATTCCACATGGGGTGGTCGGTCATCCTTCTTCCCTTCATCAATTATATTTTATGGGTATATAGACACGTGGAAAGGCTGTGGATGTAATCTAATTATACTTTAAAAAAAAAAAAGTTTCTTGAGAAAGTTTCAAACCAAAAGCGATTAAGATGAGTCATTATCAGATTGAGGAGAACACTGTTTTTGTTGTGGATAGACAACTTGTTCAGAATTACACACACTCACTAGGGTAAATAGGCCCTCTGGAGAGTGGGTTTTTTCTTAGTTTCTATAATAACCTTAAGGAGACTTGGTGGCGCAGTGGTTAAGCAATTGGCTGCTAACTGAAAGGTCCATGGTTTGAACCCACCAGCTGCTCCACAGGAGAAATTTTGGCAGTCTGCTTCCTTAAAGATTTACAGCCTTGGAAATCCGGTGGGGCAGTTCTACTCTGTCCTATAGGGTCACTATGAGTCGGAATCGATTTGACAGCAATGTGTTTATAGTAACCTTCCATCCTGAGCCAGCTGTGGCATTTCTAATTCTGCCATGCTTTAAGGAACCACTGCCCATGTAACTCCAGACCAGTGGTTCTCAGACATGGGTACTAGGATCAGTGGCATCAGAATCACTACTTTAACAGGGTGGGAACAGGGAAACCGTTAAAACACAGATTCTGGACTCTCTGGAGTTGAGGGCCAAAAAATCTGCTTTTTCAATCAGAATTCTAATAATTCTGATGTGCAAATCAAGAACCTAGGGCAGAATTCAACCATAAAAATGATGATAATTCTATTCTATGAGAAATAGAAAAACGAGTAGAATTGAAAGTAATTCAGGAAGATAAGAGTAAATTATTATTACCCAATTCGTTGTCTTTGTTTTGCTGGTTGGGACAATTCTGAGCAAAAATTTCCTGTACATCCCAAAGATTATGTGATATCACAGTCAGGTGGTGTCAAATATAATGGATGACTTAATTATGAATTTATTTACTAAAGCAAAACATATTTGAAAACACTACAGCTGGATATTTGTTTTCCTTTGGGATTTGACAGTTTATAGTTATGGTTTCCCATCTTAATTTTTTTAATGTTATTTACTCAGCAGTCTGAATTGGCTTTGATGGCTATTTAAAAAGGCTTATTATTCTTTCTAAAAAGGAATATTGCATCTCAGTAATCCATACCATCTTTGTGAGAACCTTTCTACAATACTATTCAACTGGCTAATTGCAGACTTTTAAAGCCTTGTAAATAGAGTCGCTAGGCAATGCAGTCACATGCAGCTTGTTTACCTGCAGTCCAACTGCACGCTAAAAAAAATTGAAACTTTTAGTCATCAGATGTTCTTTTTACATTTTTGGGAGACAATGGTGTTCTCCTGTTTATTTGTTTGTTTTCATGTTACAAGGAAATGATGTCTATACCTACCATTATTTTTTTTTAAATAAGGGAAATTCTTAGGGTTTATGCAGCAATGTTAGCATTTTGTGGGCATTACTCATTTTGTTTTTCACATTATAAAGCTTTAAACTACAATGTCCTTATCTCCCAGTAGAATCAGATTCACTGCTTTGAGGATTAGAACTACCTGCATTCTAAGCCAACTAACTAGAAATCAATGCTCAAACCCAAGTGAATCGGTGGAAGCCTTGTTAGCTGAATTTGCAGGAACATACATTTTTAGACTATAATGTCCTGTATAAATGACAAAAATAAATTGCTCAGGATAAATAACAGAACCCTGTTGTTACTCAAAATACCTCTTTACAAAGTGTATGATAATTGTATTTATGTTTTTTCCTATCAACCTCCTCGGGCTATCTCGTTTTGTACAAAGAAGGAATGAAGAAGAAATTAAGTGTCTTGTGTATGGCCATCAGGAGTCAAGAATGTGTTGGCAATATTCTCTCGTGGGTGTCACAGTCCCCACATTGAAGATTAGAACGGCCTGGACTTGTTCTGGCCTCACCTCACCTGAAAGACGCCATCAGAATAAATGAGAGCCATTTCTACTCATTTTGGTGTGCTACATAGAATTTGTATTTTTAGTGCCATTTTAATAGTCAGAGGAGAACAAAAATAGACTCTACCTGTGATCAGGTGAGACCAGCTGAGCAAGAGGGGGCCCAGCTGGAACAGGGCTGGAAACAGGTCTGCTCTTGTTCTGTTACACCTGTCTTTACACCATATTTTCAGCATGATGCTTAGGAAAACAAATGCAATATTACATACTTATGTATCTTTAAAATTAATCACTTATACCTGTAGAGTGATGCATGCCCACTCTAAAAATTAAAGCAATAGGCAAAATTTCAAAGACAAATATAAAAACATCTCTTTGAATCCTGCCACCCAGAAATAGATATTTCATTAACATTGGATGAGCTTCATTGCAGCCACCTTGTGAATATATGCAGGCAGCATGGACAGAAACAATTTTAGAAAAATGGGATCATACCATCCAAGCTATTTGTTTTTTCCTATAGTCAAAGTTTTGTTTTTTAATCAACTTGAGGTATAAGTGTACAATTCTATGAGTTTTTACAGTTTTATACACCTGTGAAACTCCCTCCACAATCAAGATACAGAACACTTCTACCACCCTAAAAGATTCCTCATACCCCTTCACATCCATCCCTCCCTCCACTCCAGCTCCAACAACTACTGATACGCCATTAGTCACTACTGCCGACTAGTTGCCTTTGAGTTGATTCTAATTCATGGTGACCCCATGTGTGTCAGAGTAGAATTGTGCTCCATAGGGTTTTCAATGGCTGATTTTTCAGAAGTAGATCACCAGGCTTTTCTTCTGAGGTGCCTCTGGGTGAACTCAAACTAGTTTAAATTATCTAGAATTTTATATAAATGCAATCATACAATATCTACTGTTTTGTGCTGGCTTCTTTCAAACAGAATAACTTTGAGATTTGTTCATGTCGTTGTCTGCCTCCATGCTGTATATGTTAGCAATTCATTCTTTTATTGCTGAGTAGCATTCCATTTATCTTAAATAAAAAGTATTAAATTTAATTTTACTTGAATTTTACAGAAGAAATACTTTTGAAATGGAAGGAATTGCAAAACTTCAGATAATTATTTCCTCATTAAAAGAGATATTAGTTTTTAAAAACCTTCTAAAGTTAATTTTAAAAAGACTAGAAAATTATGAAAAGCTATACCTGAGCATTTAAAAATCATTGACATTTTAAAACTGTATGTATTAACTTTAAAATATCTATTAATTCCCTGCTATGAAATATGAAAGCAATTAGAGCACTTACACTTTTCCCCACATCTCCACCTCTGTCTTGTAAGGTATTATCATTAGTGTTTTACACAACTATCAAAATTTATAGCATTTATATTGTGCTGTATAATTTCAATTTCCAAAATAGTTTATTCTTCATTCTGCATTTAAATGAGTTCTATATTTACCACCAATCCTTTTGCCATGGTTCCTCCATGCCAGTGTATTTTATTTTGACTTAATTTTGGTTGCCTATACTTTTGTCATCTGGTAGTTTTTTCAAGAGAGGTTAAGCTAAGAACATACTTATGTATTTGAAGTTCAGTTTTTAAAGCTCAGTTTGGCAGGATGTAAAGGTCTTGGATTATGCTTTCTTTATCTCAGAAATTTGAGAACATTTCTTTAATGTCTCTTAGCATTAAATTATAATGCTTTTATTTTTAGATCCACTACTTTTCATTCTACTAACGAGCTTTGCTAGTTCACTTTTTATTCTCGTACTGTTGTATTATATTCTCCTTTTTGAATACTTGTATTTTTGAGACTATGGAGAGTTATTGGTGTGAATTTTTAATATATTTCCTTGGATAATTCTTTTTATATACATTTTATCTGCCTTTTACATGTGTTCCTTTCTTCCTTTGCTGTTTTCCTGCAGATTGTGTGTGCGTGTGTGAATATACTATAATTATTTATTCAGCCAACTATTGAAAGACATTTGGATCATATCCAGTTTGGGACTGTCATGAATAGTTCTGCTGTGGCTATCTAGTACATGTCTTTTTCTGAACACATGCTTGCATTTCTGTTTGGTATATACCTAGGAATGAAATTGCTTGGTTATAGGGTATGCATATGTTTACCTTTAGTGGATACTAGCAAACAGTTTTCCAAAATGGTTGTACCAATGTACATTCCTATCAACAGAGTATGGTAGTTTCAGTTGCTGTATATCCTCCGCAACACTTGGTCCTGTCCATCTTTCTCATTTAGCCATCAGGTGGGGATTGGGTGGCATTCAGTTGTGATTTTAATTTGCATTGAATTTAATCTGCATCAAATTAAATAGCACTGATTAATACATTTGAGCACAGTTTCATATGTTTATTGGCCCTTTGGTATTCTATTATTTGGGTTCCTTGCCTATATTTTCAAATTAATTTGTAGGAGCTCAGTATATATTCTGGTTCATTTGTCTTTTGGGAGTATATGTATAACAAATATCTTCTCCCTCTCTGTAGGTTGCCTTTTACTCTCCTAATGGTATCTTTTGAAAGACAGAAATTTGTAATTTTAATATAGTCAATTTGATCAGTTTTTTTAAAGATTAGCTCTTAATTTTATACAAGGGGGAAAAAAGAAAAGAGATTAGCTCTTTTTATGTCCTGTTAAAAAATCTTACCTATTCAAGGTCACAGAGATATTTTTCTCTAAAAGTGATATTGTTTTACCTTCGTCATTTAGATGTACCGTTCCTTTATAATTGACTTTTAAGTATGGTGTGAGGTAGGGGTCAAGATACTTTTTTTTTCCATATGGAAATCCAGTTGACTCAATACCATTTATTAAAAAGGCCATGGGGTCACCACGAGTTGCAATCAACTTGACAGCAACGGTTTTGGTTTTGGTTAGTACATGCTTTTAGGTTAAAGTGAAAATGAAGGAAAGAAAACAGGTACATTATGCCATATACAAAGGAAGCAGTATTGAAAAGTTGAATGTAAACCATTTTTCCTTAATTATACCAATTTTAAAGGTATTTCATTGTCATCATTTTTTTTTAGTCCAAGATTGATTCACTTTGTAAAGTGAAAGATCTTTTGATAATCTTGTCGACTTTAATACAACTGTTTTATTATTTTAGATTGGAAGAAAGCATGATTTAAATGGAGTACAACAGAATTCATCACATTTATTTTTATTTCTCTCTCACACACACATATATATATATCAAATAGCAACAGATATCCAGGTTTATAAATATCAGCAACATGCTTTAAAATAATTGCTGTGGAATAAATACATTTATTTGGTTGACGGTTGTAGATTACATACTCTATATTATCTGACAACTTTGTAGAAACAAAGAGACTGTCCTAAGGTATTATTTATTTGAATCAAACAGGTTGTTTTACTTTTTAAAAGTTTAAGGCATTTCCATACATTTCCCCCACCCCACTGTTTTTTTCCTAGTACAGCAATCAAGGTTGACTTCAGCTGTTACTGGATCTGCAAAGTATGTGTCTGAATTATATAATACACATTAGTTTTGGAACATAACAATGTGCATCAGAAAACAAATAAAAGTCACGACTCACTGCCATAAATATGCCACTGGGTCGCCACCACTCCAAAAGGAAAGCCACCATTGTATCCAAATCAGGGACAGGTTAAGTGAGATTAAAATTACAAATGCCCCCATTTACTCTTTCCCTCTCTGGCCAATCCAGACCAGGTTGAAAATAATTTGCATCCAGAAGAAGATTTGGTTCAGCAGTTATGGATTGATACGGCCAATGAACTGTCCTAAGTAAGAAACAGATTCTGATCCAGACAAGTTTTCTTTTTGTTTATTTTAATTGGAAGTGTTCAGTAGCCACTACTTCATTCTGTCCATTTACAAAGGCTAAATGTAGTAGCTATTATGAACTCATTATTTTAACAAAACAAACCACAACTTTCCTATTACTTACATCTACTTTGTAAAATACCATTTTTCTTGTTCTGCAAGTTGTTATGAAAAGGCTGCTTGAGTGAATTTACATAGTGCATATCATAGTGTCTAAAACTTGAGTTCTTGTCCAATTTTTGCTTTCTAATATTTCAATCTCCTGGAATGATTGCGAGCTGTATTTAGCTATGGAGCTAAATATTTTAACCTGGAGCTGGCCTCAAAATTTTACATAAAAATAATGATACAGCAGCCATTAAATTTTGTAGCAACTTAGTTTTCATCAATGCATTCTTAGTTATCATCTCATTTGACTCAACATTCCACAAATATTTATTGAGCATAGACTAAGTGCTAGGCAGTTAGGCAAAGCCAAAAAAAACTATTTGCTGTGGAGTTGATTCCAACTCATAGCAACCTCATAGGACAGAGTAGAACTCTGTCCCATTGGGTTTCCAAGGCTGTAAATCTTTATGGAAGCAGACTGCCACATCTTTCTCCTGTAGAGCAGCTGGTGGGTTCAAACCGCTGACTTTTCGGTTAGCAGCCCAGCGCTTAACCACTGCACCACCAGGGCAGGGCAGCTGTTATTATCCCCATTTTATAAAACAAATACAGATGTTAAGTGGTTGTCTAGGGTTATACAGCTACCAAGTGGTGAAGTTGGAAACTGAATGTTTGATGTGATGAAAAATGTGCAATTGTGCACTACAGATTATTAAGTAAGCACAATTAACCCGTGCGTACCTTGTTTATTGGGTAATCCTCCGAGAGCACGAGCTCTGCAGATTTGCTGCCTTGCTTTAGATACCAGTGCTGTCACAAACTGGTCAAACTGTGTAGCCTGGGGCAAGTTATTTAACCTCTCTGTGCTGTGGTTTGTTGTGAGAATTGAAAGAGTATTCATAAAGCACTTGCAACAGTGTCTGGTAAATAGTAAGCACTATGTGTTTGTTATTAGTGGATGCCTCGTCCAATTTTCTATTCTACATTATGCTACCTTTTCCCACATAAGGAACCCTGGTGGTGTAGTGGTTAAGTGCTCAGCTGCTAACTAAAAGGCTGATGATTAGAACCCACCAGCTGCTCCATAGGAGAAAGATGCGGCAGTTGGCTTCCATAAAGATTACAGCCTTGGAAAGCCTATAGGGCAGTTCTACCCTGTCCTACAGGATTGCTATGAGTCGGAACCGACTTAACGGCAGCGGGTTTCTTTCTTTCTTTCTTATCTACATATGTTAACGGACTGTTTCCTCTTTCTTTCCAGTGGGATTTTTCTATATTTCATAACTGTCAACTTCATTTGGCAAAACCACTAGACACCTGCCCGTGCAGTTTTTATGCCTAAAATTTTATTAGTTTATTAATTTTAATTTATTTAAAACTTTATGCCTTAAATTCTATCTAGAATATCAGATCTTTTAAAAACCACCTCTGGATTTATAGTCTCATTTTCTAGAAAACAAGAAATGAAATTGACCAATATGTGAAGAAATTATTAGTGGGAAGTTCTTTGAAGAAAGATCTCGTTCTTTGTAAAATATAATTGTAAGATACCATTTTAAGAACAACATGGGGAGATTTCATTTTTTTTCATATATATATATATGCAAGTGTTAGTGTAATTTGCAGTTTCTGAAAGACCAACGGTTTCTGTGGTTCTCTGAACTACCTAGTGGTTAATTTAACATGTCTAACAAGTGTACATCTACCAGAAATTCCTTATTAAAGCTCCACAACTAATACAAGCAAAATTTTAATCTATTATTAATTTTTAAATGGTTCTGAAAGAAAACACTTTTATTTACTCTCAAAAGTTAAACACTGAGTATATGAACATTTGCTAACAGTGTATTTTTATAGTTTAAATTACCTTACCCAAAGTAGAGAAATCCATGAGATAAAAGTTGAAAGCAAAAAATAAAAATAAAAAAGTGTTGAAAGACCTCGTTTTTCTTCTTTCTGTAATAGAATAATCAATGCTTACTTTGTTAAACACACTTTGGTTAGTTGGTTGGTTGTTGAATCAAAGGCAAGTTAATGATTGCACTTCATTGTGAATTTTCATCTTACAGACTTTAAACATCTTCCAGAACCTAAATAAACGCCAGTTTGAAACAGTCATGCATTTGTTTGAAGTTGCAATAATAGCAACCGACCTGGCTTTGTATTTCAAGTAAGTACTTAACTCCCTACCACAGAACTCCCTTATACTCTGTGAGGTTCTACCTTCCATAAATGAATGGTTCGTTGCCTTAAAAGTTAAAAGCCATTGTCTCTCTCTCTCACACACACACAAATACATTTGTTCATTTTCCTTTTAGATTGTCAGTAGAATGCCCTCAAAATGCCTGACAGTGAATTTACTAGACATCTGGAAACATTTTAAGCCCCTAATATTAAGTAGTTTGTTACCTGAAGAAGTTTGAGTTGAAGAATATGCAACAAGGTTTGTGTTTTGCCAGAGGCGTGATGCCAGGAAACCTCACAAGGTGACTTTTTGTCGTGGTGACAAATCTTGGCCCAGAATCTGTTATTTAGTGTTATAGGCTCTGGAGTTTGATCCTGTCAGAGGCTGGGAAATGAACAATCTCAGTGATTCTGATGACCACTAACTAAACTCTCAAAACTCTGGGTTATATATAACAGAGTGCTAAACTATTTACAGTAATATAATTGCCAAGGAGACCAGATACTCCAAGCTTCTGGCCAACATTTCTTGTAAGGGAATTATAAAGAAACATTTAATGACTTGGATGATCATTGTCAAATTGTGCCTCTCATCTTTCTTAATTAAAAATCTAATTATTAATACTTCAAACATGATACTAAGAATAATACAATGGATATTCACATATCCATAATCCAAATTTAACAAATGCTAGCATTTTGCCACATTTGCCTCAGATCTTTTTAAGGAGAAACAATAAACCATTAGTGATATAATTAGAGTATCTTGCCCCTACCCTACCATGACAAACCCCTCCCTTCTCCCTCACAGATATCACCATCCTGATGTTGATATATATTCATCCTTTCCAATACCATACCATACTATGTATGGTATTTTTTAATTTTTCCATAAATGGTATCATACTGTACATACCTTTCTGCAACTTGCTTTTTTCCACTCATCATTATGATTTAAAGATACCCTCTGTAATAAGTAGAAATCTAATTGTTTTACTATTATAATTCATTTCTCCGTTCCTCTATTCATGGACATTTAGATTGTGCCCACAATGCTACATTGTATATCTGGGTACCTATATAAGAGCTTCCCTAAGGCACCTATCTAGAAATGGGAGTGCTGTAGGGTTTGCCTGTCTTCAATTTCATGCCACACAGCAAAAACTGCACTCCTGAGTAGTTGTGCCAGTTTACATTCCTACCAGCACTGTACAAGAGTTCCTGTTATCCCATATCTGGAATGCTCTGGATCTGGGCATATTTAAAAATGTATTTCTTTTGCTAATGTAATGAGTGTGAGATGGTTTCTTACTGTTGTTTAAATTTGTATTTTCTTGATCACCAAGTGAGACTGAACATCTTTTCATATATTTTGAGTTCTAATCTTTTGTTGGTTCTATGTGTTGTGATATCTCATCACAGTCTGTAGCCTTTTATCTTTATGTCATGGTCTCTTTTGTCCTGTGTAACTTTTAGTTTTAATGTATTCACATTTACCAATTTTTTTTCCTCTTACGGTATGTACTTTTTTTTTTTTTTTTTTGCCTTATACCGTTTCTAGGCGAAGGTTACACAGCCATTCCGTTCTTTTATCTCCTGACCCCTTAGACTCCACTATGTAGGCATCCTAATGCAAGCATCTGAAGAGCATGTATTTAAAAATGCCTTTTCTCTGCTCTTATATGCCAAAATTGCTGCACAGTTGTATCTTTTTTAGGAAGAGAATGATGTTTCAAAAAATTGTTGATGCCTGTGAAAAAATGGAAACTGAAGAAGCAACCATCAAATACGTAACCACTGATCCAACCAAAAAAGAGATCATCATGTGGGTAGTCAGAATTTTATTCCTCTTTTGGAAAAATAACTTGCTTGTATTTATTTCTATTTTAACAAATTTCATTTTCTTCCAAAGGGCAATGATGATGACTGCATGTGACCTGTCTGCTATAACCAAGCCCTGGGAGGTACAAAGCCAGGTAAGTCTGGTTGTTTTATTTCTGTCCCACTCTCAGGTACTGCCTAGGTCCCATGTAAAAGTCGATCTGGCAACCCTCAGAATCTTATTATTGCTATCAAATTATATGGCTATATATTTTATAAGTAATTATCGTTCATTACACCAGACTTGTCCTCTCAAACAATTGGTTTACAATTTAAAAAAAAGAAAAAATGATAACTTGAGAAATTATGACGATTAGAAATAAAATGTTCCCTGTTGAGTTTCAATTAATGAAGAAAGGCAAAAAGCTTTCAAGAGCTCACAAACACCAGTAAAACAATAGGTAATCTGATCAGGCCCTAGACCAAAGCAAACAGAGGGAACCTTGGAAAGAAAATGTTTTCTTGAAGGAATTCCTTATGACTGGACAGGCTGTAAAAAAAGTTTATATAAAATTATTCAGGGTTCAGGGGACATCTAGGTCAACTGGCATTACAAAGTTTATTAAGAAAATGTTCTGCATCCCACTTTGGTGAGTGGCATCTGGGGTCTTAAAAGCTAGTGAGCGGCCACCTAAGATGCATCAACTGGTCCCAGCCCACCTGGAACATAGGAGAATGAAGAACACCAAAGTCACAAGGAAAGTATTAGCCCAAGAGACAGAAAGGGCCACATAAACCAGAGACTGCAACAGCCTGAGACCAGAAGAACTAGATGATGCCCGACTACCACCAATGACCGTCCTGACAGGTAATACAACAGAGTCCCTGATGGAGCAGGAGAAAAGTGGTGTGCAGAACTCGAATTCTGGTAAACAGATCAGACTTAATAGTCTGACTTAGACTAGAGGAACCCCAGAAGACATGGCCCACAGACTGTTAACCCAGAACTAAAACCATTCCTGAAACCAATTCTTCAGACAAAGATTAGACTGGACTATAAGACATAAAATGATACTCGTGAAGAGTGTGCTTCTTAGTTCAAGTAGATACACAAGACTAAATGGGCAGCTCCTGTCTGGAGGCGAGATAAGAAGGGAGAAAGGGTCAGAGCTGGCTGAATGGACATGGGAAATCTGCGGTGGAAAGGAGGATGTGCTGACATATTATAGGGATAGCAACTAGGGTCACATAACAATGTATGTATAAATTTTTGTATGAGAAACTAATGAGCTATAAACTTTCACTTAAAGCACAATAAAAATAAATAAAATTATTCAGGGAATGTCTGAGTTTTTTAGTAGAAGTCAGCACTAGACAAGGATGAATCAGTGCTTTCTTCTATCGAGGTTGGTTTGCTCTGAAGATCTCTTCTTGAATGGGCTGTCAATTATTAGAAGACACTGTGAGTTCAAGTTTAAGGTGGTCTTCCACTGAAGTTCTTCCCCAATTTTGGAGAGTGGGAGTGGGGAGACACTAGTTTACCACTTGTTTTCCTACTAATTGGATGAAAGAAATGTCTCCTTTTCCCATAATAACTTCTAGGAAAAACTCTAAGCAAAGAGAGGCCAGGATCAGCTGGGTTCAACTATAAATGTGGATTGTGTTGTAATGATAGCGTAATTGGAACCCATCAAGCCCAAAACCAAGCACTTGCACTCCATCCACGACATGGCCTGCTGTTTCTCCTAGATTCTTCATCTGCGCAATCACCTAAGCCAGACTCTTGGCGTCTTGCTTGAGTCCATCTCCCCCATTTCAAAATCATTTCTCTCACTCCTGCTATTGTCTCAGTTTAGACTTTTCATCCTCTTTCATCAGAATGATAAGGCTCTGGTGGTAACCTCATCATTAACTCCCCACACCATCCTCTGGCCTGCTGCTGGGGTCGCTTATAGAGCTCACCCACTCCACTGCTTAAAAGCCTTCTAAAAACCCCCCATTGCCATAAGTTTTCAACTTTTTTTAAAAGAAGTTTATCTCCCCCCCACCAATAAAAATAACCCCCAAAAACTCAAAAACCACTTTATAAAAGAGAAAAAAAACCAAAGCTACTTTAGCTTAAATCTCTCTTGGCCTCCACCCTACTGGGCCCCTGGTGCACTTTGGAAGGACCCTAGGGCTCCAGGAATAAAACCACTAGCCTAGACAATCAAGTTCAAGCTTCCCAGCAAGGTTATGTGGCCCGTCACTATCTGTCCTTACCTCACTTTCTCAGGCTCATTTTCATCACTCTCTCCCATGTCAGTGCCTCACACTCTAAGCTCCTACTCCCATAAGCTCAGCACATTCAATTTCATCACTGTATATGCTCCCCCCTCCTTTCCTGCAAACTACTATTCATTCTTATTGATACAGCATAAATGCAGCCTCCCTCTGCTATGATGCTTGGCTTTACTCCCTCCTTGTTGATCTCTCTCCTCATTGATCTATAACACTTCATACCATCACTACTACAGCACTTACTGCAGTGTTTACATGATTGTCTTCACCAGATCGTGAGCATCTTAAAGAATGCTTTTTTCCTTAAAGAAATGTTATGTCTTATTCCTCTTGGCAAGCATGGCACATGCCAATAAAAGGCAGCCAGCAGGTGTTCAATGAACTTGACAGATTTTTTTAATAATATAAATTAACTCTGAATCTCCTCACACTGTAATCAAGCTATGCACTAATATGTGTGCGTGTGTGTGCACGTGTATCCACATGTTTTAGATCCTAAAAGATAAGCAGGACAAAGAGAACTTGGGAAGCATTACAGCATGAAGCATAATGTTTAATGGAATCGAACATCCTCCCATCTCCCCTTTTTATTGTTGAGAGGTGGTGGCAATAGCAATTAGGAGATAAGCACTCCCAAAATGAGTCTAGAACATTAAAGTAGGAAGAAAAGTTTCCTTTTCCCATTTCAATATAATCTGCAGATGATCTTTTTAAAATTTAGGAGTATATGGTACAAAAACACCTCTAGTATCAACAAGTATCAACTACAACTCTGTATCCTTAAGTATCACTCGTACTGATAAAATGCAAATTCTCTATTAATAAGTGGACTTTAATGAACCAAGCTTCTCTTATTTGCAGGTAGCACTTCTGGTTGCAAATGAATTTTGGGAACAAGGAGATCTGGAGAGAACAGTGCTACAGCAACAACCTATTGTAAAGACCTTGACACAAAAATGCATTACTTATTCAAAATTATCAGTGCAAATCAATTTATTTTGTTTATTGAATCTTAGAAATATTAAATGGATTTATTCTCTTTCTAGCCTATGATGGACAGAAACAAAAAAGATGAACTACCCAAACTGCAAGTTGGATTTATTGATTTTGTTTGTACTTTTGTATATAAGGTAAGAAAACAAAATTATTTGCTTGAAATACATAATCATTTGGAGAATTTTTCTTTTAAAGTGTAACAGAATCAGAAAGTCACCTATATGGAAAGACATTAGGGATGTCCTTATTTCTCTGAAGTAGTTTGAGGTTTTATCCTGATCTCTCATTCAGTGGTGGAATAAAAGGTGAGAGAACTTTGATATGAACATATTGAACAGACTTATGAAGGCAGGAAAGACAGGTGCTATCTTTCCTAAGCTTCAAAGCCACTGAGTTAAGCTCATCCTCACAGCTAAGAGGACTATAACAATTCCTTACAGCTCCTACTCTGCATATGAAAAGTACTTATAATCAAATGCATGGTTTAAGTGGTTTCTGAACTAAAATTTTTTCTAGGAGTTCTCACGGTTTCACAAAGAAATCACACCTATGCTGAATGGTCTTCAAAATAACAGAACAGAATGGAAAACACTAGCCGATGAGTATGATGAAAAGATGAAAGTAATAGAAGAGGAGGTGAAAAAGCAGAAAGAAGGAAACACAATAGAAAAAGGTTAGATGCAATCTGTTTATGCTCCTTGTAAGGTAGCCAGAAGTCAGGCTGAGCTTAACTGCACATGACAAAGGCCTGAGAAGTAACTGCAAACAGGAAATGGGCGTTACTGGACACAGAAGTTGACTAGGGGTTTTCCATTCCCCCCCCCCCAAACAAGATCTTATATAATTCCTGACAGCACTGGCTGTTTCAGAAGAAGAAGAGGTTGGGGGGACCACAAGGCTTCTTCATCCACTCTATAAGGTGGCCCCTGAGGCATCTCCACAGAACACTGGGTTTTTAGGAATAGTATGAAAAGCCACAGAATCAGTGAGATTAGGGTTTAGTAAGGAAAAATTTTGTCCCAATATTATGCATTAGCTGTGAAACTTTGGGCAACTTGCTTCACCTCTCTGAACTTAATATTCTTCTCTCTATAATGTTTTACAAGGTCTCCAATTACTTCCAGACTTAAGGAAGCCCTATATGTAAAGTAAAACTAGCAAAATACCCAAAATATTTTTACGCAGTGCTGTTTTTCCTGGCCTGAAATTCCTACTCCTAAAGTCACCTAAGGAGATGTGGTGATGAAATGGTTAAGTGTCTGGCTGCTAACCAGAAGGCTGGCAGTTCACACCCAGTGGCAGAAAGACCTTGTGATCTGCTTCCATAGATTACAGCCAAGAAAATCCTATGGGGTCATTCTACTCTGTTACATGGGTCACTACAAGTCAAAATCGCCTCAGCTGCAAAAAACCACCACAACAAAGTCATTCTATCAGGTTTAACACTGTCTTCAGAAAGCCTCTGTTAAAATGCTTAGTCATCAAATGACCCAAACGTCATCTTGAAAGTGGAATGACTTCATTATTTTGTCTCAAAGTTCACAACTCAAAAGGTTTTGTAAGGAATTCTTATCAGTGACTTTTTGGTTAGCAGCCCAGCACTTAACTACTGTCACCAGGATCCTTTTTAGTTCAAGTCAAAAAAAAAAAAAACGTTGCCTTCGAGTCGATTTTGACTCACAGCGACCCTATAGGACAGAGTAGAACTGCCCCATAGAGCAAGCTAGTAGATTCGAACTGCCGACCTTTTGGTTAAAAGCCGAGCTCTCAACCACTGCACCACCAGGGCTCCAATTTAGTTCAATTAAGCATATATAAATCTTTCAAAAATTTGTGTGACATATTTTAATAGAGGTGGAATTGGGTTCAAAATAACAACCAACATGGTCTTCCACAGCCTTCAAAGGTAAGTTTAAATCTAATAAAAAACATAACTGAAAAGATCAGTAGTCTAAAATGAAACCAGGAAAGATAAAAAAACAAAAACTGTGAGTCCTTTTAAAAAATATTACCATGTGGCAATACTTTTTGAATCAATATGTAAAATATGCTTCATGTTTAATATTTTTAAAAAATTTTAATTCTTTAAAAATATAGTCCAATACATGTCTACCCAGAATTTTAACTAATTCAAATCCTTCATTTTCCAAGTTTTCTTTATTCATTTTTAAGTATACAGATGAATAAGAATCGTGGAAACTTCCAGATTGTGTGGTTCAGTGTTTCCCTTGAGAAACTAGATGTTAACTAATTATTCATTAGAGTTTACCTTTTAAATGGAAAAATTCTGAATATGAATTCAAGTTTTTAAATGGTTAAACCCTTAGTACTTGCTATAGGCTAAAACTATAATTAGGCTATCAAGTTGACACTAGTATCATGAGAGTGTTAAAATAAAAACACTATCTATCTGTTGACTTCCGATAACATTGCTTTTCTCCTTTTCACTAGCTGCAGGAGATTCAGGAGGTGGTGGTGATGACAGGAAGTCCAAAACATGTCTAATGTTATAATATTATCCAACTGGTCTAAATTCCAAATATGTTTCTACTTCCAAACAAAAACAGAAAACACTCAAAAGAGCTTCAGCAAGTTTCATTCAGTAAACCGTCAAGTAACAAAGAGGATCTTCAGAAGTTACCCTACCCCTGCTACTATGAACAGAAAATATATTGCTAGCCTGACAACTCTGAGGATAAAATAAAGATCAACAAAAGTACAAAATAAGACAAAAATGGGTACATTTCTGGTGCCAATTTGTTTTTAATTAAAAACATGCAATTCTGAAACTAGTCACAAATTCTTCATAAAATATGCTGTTATTAATAATTGTGTGGTGCAAATGGTTAAGTGCTGGCCTGCTAACCGAAAGGTTGGCGGTTGGAACTCTCCCATCAGCTCTGCAAAAGACCTGGCGATCTACTTCCGTGAAGATTACAGCCAAGAAAATCCTATGGGGCAGTCCTACTCTGCCACATGGGGTTGCTATGAGTTGAAATCGACTCAACAGCACCTAACAACATATACATCAAACTCCTTTCTGAACTAAAAATCTCTCAACATGTCTTAACGTAAAGAATACAGAATGTAAATACAGTATACAAAACAAACAAAAAAGGATGACAAATGGTATTCCAACTGAAATGAATACTGTTTATTTCCTCTACTTTTTACTCTTGATAAAGAAGGGTAAAGACACACCCTTTTTGGCAGTTTATAAAAACTATGTCTTTGTTCTATTCCCCCAACTCAACCACCACCACCAAAGTCTGAAATCAATTATTTTGCTGTGTAACTATTTTTTTTTAATGTTCAGAACTAATATTCTCATTGAAAAAACTGTCAGTTTATAAGATGCTATCTGAATAATCCGAACGCAAGTTAAATCAGCTAATAAATATGCATTATTAAGAAGCAGTTGGAAGGACTTCAACAGAGGAAACTTTTTAAAAATGGTTAAGAGAACTATCTAAATACTGAATTGTCGAGAGAAACTAAGGACAATCAACTACTTCCACTACATGCTGCATGTCTGGATGTCAGAGAAATTTAAGATTTCTTCCTTTACTTATCTATAAGCATAGTCTAAATTAGAAAGCAGACCAAATAATTACGTCATATATTTTGCCATAGCTTTTCTTGTCAAAGGAGATCTAAGTTTTAATGAATCAAAATGATTCATTATGGATCCCAAAGGTTTTGTTACGTACAATATACTGTTCAGTTTTAAGCAGGCAAGAAATAAATCACATCTGTTATATTTTTACAAGTTAGGTACTAAGAATCATAAAATCGCTTCTCTCACATTAGAATGTAAGCTCTATGAGAGATTTTTCGTCTTTTATTCACAGCTCCATTCTGGCACCTAGAATAGTGCCTGGCCCATGGTAGGCACTCCGTAAATATGAATGAATGTTATTCTGAATAAACGTTATAAGAAACAGGCATAAATGAGGAGTGACTGTAAGTTAACAAGATAGCTTTAGGGAGAAAAAACCACTCAGTGTACACTGTTAAAGCTTTCACTCTGGTTAAGTGGGCGCACTCCCTTATTTCCACTGCTTAAAATAATTTTTAAGCTCCTCTCCTAGGATCTTTTGAAACCACATAAAAACTTTATTCCTTTAGCCTTATGCACTTTTGGACCAAAAAGTATCAGTCAGCTCAAGCAGCCTCCCCTCCTCATTCACGAGAAACGAACTGCGGGCAGAGACATGCCATCACTGAAGGTCTAACAAAATATGAACTTTGCTTAAGAGCAAGGTCATAAGAAAAGCTTAACTTTAAATGCCCCAGAGTTTACTGAACACCCCTGACTGCACTAAACTTTAGCAAAGTTTGAGATAGGCATGCTGGAAAATTAACTTTTAAACTAATCATCACAGACGCCTTTTCAAAGACTCCTTAAATATATCGCTCCCATTGTCATTGTATATGAATGGATTAAGTGTTGTGATTAAACATAATGGCCTAACTTGGTACCATAAACCATACTTATAATACTAAATATATGAATCCACTTTAAAAAGGTCTTTAGATATTCTTCCTAGTCATGCATTTAATTTTTCAGGAACTTTATTTTCCGACTACCATTAATATATATATATTTTATCATAAAAATGTCTTAACTAAATATATTACTAATATCACAATTTTGCAGCTGGACATTTCTTTTTATTTATTTTTTGAGAAGTATCTAGGAGACAATCTAAAAAATTTTTTTATTGTGGTACAATATACGTTAACAAAAAATCAGACATTTTTAAATTCCATTAATTACATTCACCATGTTGTACAGCCACTATCACTATCCAGTTTCAAAAGTTGTTTTTTTTTAACCCTAGACAGAAACTTACTACCCCTTAAGCTGCTGGACATTTCTAACATGTTTTTCTAAAAAATTAAGGTGCCTTTTCACTCACGATAGATTGTAAGAGGAAAAATAATTTCTTTAAAGAAATGAGAGGATGTTCAAAGTTTAATAATAAACCAACAATGATGTACTGTTTTCTGGTAGAAGTTGAGAAATGGTTACATAATTTGTTATTCTTCTCGATAATTCCTTTATAGTAATGTCCAGTACAGTGCCTCACACATAATGGACACCTGATAAATATTTGTTGAATTAATGAATAACAACTATTCAATAAAAGAAAAATCTCTGACACTAACCATTTTAAAATAAGATACTAAATTACTTATTTTTCACTTTAATGGCAATCATTCCATTTTACAACAGTATATCTTCAATAAAATAACTGGGAATGCTATGATTATTTTCTAAATACTGTCTTATTCACCAAGCCACGTGTCTTCTCCACTACCTAGCCATCTACCTCCTCTTTATAAAAATGGGTCTTTACTTTTTTTTTTTATGAATAAATCTTATCGAAAATTTGATGAAAGCTATGGGCATTTTCCTCAAAAAATACATATATACACAAAATAGTACACAGAGATTTTAAGAGTGCTTGTATCTCCTGAAATATGCCCAAGGTACCTTGGAGGTACCAAGTTAAGAAGTTACATATTTTGTAATATATCCCTGTATATAAGTAAATCCATATTTGCAGAACTACATCTGAAAGAAACTCCATGCACACAGTGTTATTTGATTAAATTATCTAATTAATTTCTGCATAATCTCTGTTGGGGAGTCAAATTTTATGAACAAATCCATTATTTTAGACTACTGGGACCCCATCTGGTCCCTGTGGTATTAATTTACTTCACAGTAAATTACCCACAGACTGGAAAGTCAAATTTAATTATAACAAATTCCCTTAAGTGGTAAAGGTGAGAAGGCACCAAGAGAAAGGCAAGCAGAAAAAAAGGCAGCCAGAAAAGGTGGTAATGGAGAAAGAAAGTGCTTAAAAGAGGGGTTGCCAATGTATCAAAGAGAGAAACAAAGACTTTAAAGACATAATCTACTTTACAATTTTTGTAGAACCCCCAATAATTCTAGTAATTTAAACTAATTGAGGTAAGGGAAAATAAATACGAATCTATTTTAAAAACCTAAAAAATACAGGAACAATGGAATCACTGTTCAGATTATTAGCTTCATCCTCTAAAAGCTACAGATGAAACGATAAGCAAACGAAAAGATATATAAGGATGGGAAAAGTGCTCTTCATATACCGCTTCATTCTCACCTCTCATTTCTTTTCAACGCTGGTTCTTCTTCATGCTGTTTTATTTGGGTGGGCAATTTGGGAGTCTAGGTAACTAAGGGGAAGTCTGAACCAACTGCTTCTATCTCCTCTTTCCACAAATGGTACAGAATCAGAAATTTCTAGAAGAGATTTATTGTTAAATGATCATAAACTATAAAAGTAAGTTCTGTATAAGCCTATTTTTAAAGAGAATTAGCCAGATCAATAATTCTGTTATTATAAGCCATTCCCACTGATGCATCATACAGACAATGCTCCCATGATGAAAAAGCCTTACTGTTTTTTTCATCATACAATTTAAATGTCTGGAAGAACCAAGAAGATTAATGATTGTTAAGAATATACTCCCTAGAAAGACTCTAAGAAAATATTTTGTGAATCTGATTCTCTGAACTTTAGAGCAGGGAAAGAGGATGGCTAAAAATAGGTGATTTGTGGTTTTAGAGTGGAGAAAAAATTTCTGCTATCTCAAAATCTCTCTCCAATTCTTGCTTCTCCTCAGAGATCCCCATTGTTAAGGAGAAGCCAAACAGAACTGTACCACTGTATTTCCACTTTTTCCTACAAAGAGCCACATTTAAGATTGAGGTATTGTAATGGAAAAACTGTATTCTCCTGGGGATTCTCCCCACCAGGAATTCGTATATTCTACTTTTGAGAATACGTCACATAGTTTTCTTAATGAGGGAATTCATATGAAGTTAAAAGAAATGGGGGGAGGGGGGAATGCATAAAATTTTCTCCTTTCCACATATTTCCATAGAATTTAAAGATACATTCTATATTTCTTAACAATATTTGGCAAATAATCCGCTATTGAAGAAAACAGTACTTTGAAAATTACGTATTGGTTTTTTAAGTGACTTGGTGTTCTCAGGTGGCTTCATGGATGGTGCCACACTACACTATACAGTAATCTGTCTCTAACAGAACCAACAAACTTCCAAAGCATCTGACATCCTGTGAGTAGCTGGATGTTTATTTCCAAAGACAAACCATTCAACCCGGAACTTGCAGATAAAACTTCATAAAGAGTTTCAAAGCATATTTTCCATTAAGGAATGTAGGCTTCTCTCTCATGTCTCACAAAAACAAATCTTGAAAATACTCATCAAATTCTTCTTCCCTATTTAAAAAAAAGTACACATCGTGATTAAAATCAATAATTAGAGTAAAAAAAAAATCTCTAGGTGACACATTGTATGAGATTAATAAAAATAAATAAAATGTTTTAATTCAATATATTGGCCGATTCCTCTATATATCAACATACTTCCATGCTTCAGCTATCAAATAATGCTGAGCTTCTAGATTAATCAGAACTATACCCACATTAACTAAAATTAAAATACATTTTTATATGTTGACATGTCTCCCCGATTTATTACTTAGGATTTTACTTTGAAGTATTTTTTGAGATGTTATTGCTTCCATTTACTATTGTGGTTGATATTATACCTTCTCTGTTCATTCTCATTTCAAACTAGAACCTGATCAAGAAATGGAGGAAAAATAAACTATTTTTAAGGGAAAATACAAGTCTCACTCCTAGGAAAAGTGTAGGCAAACTCTGTAGGCTGTAGTTTTCTATTATTCTGAGAATAGCAAATATATTATGTTATTTATAACAGTAGAAATTTTATCTAGAACGAAGACTACAACTCTGAAAGGAGATGTTGTTAGATTATAATGCATCAAAATAGAATGAAAATTGTAAGGTACTAAATAAATATTAAGGAGCCTGAGTGGTGCAAAAGTTAAGTACTCAGCTGCCAACTAAAAAGGCTGGCAGTTCAAACCAATCCAGTGGCTCTGCAGGAGAAAGACCTGGTGATTTGCTCCCACAAAAGATTACAGCCTAGAAAACCCTATGAGGCAGTTCTACTATGTCACATGGGGTCGCTATGAGTAGAAATCGACCCAATGGCACCTAGCAGTATAAATAAATGTCAATACTAGAAGCCAGAGTGGTACAATGAAAACAGCATGGGCTTTCAAGTCAGAGAGTTTTTTTTTTAAGTTCTAACACTGCCCTTATTAGCTCTGTGAGCAAGCTACTTAACTTCTCTGGGCTCAGTTTACTTATCTGTAAAGTAAATTAAATTCCCTCATAGAGTTGTTGCATAGATTAAATGAATGCACAATTCCTTTTCTTTCTTCTGGGAACAGGGGATCAAGCTGGACAATCAAGTTAGGTAGTCTACCAGTCTTTTTAGAAAATGTTCTTCTAAGTCAGATGTTCACAGTGAGATTTCATCTTTTGGTTTCAAATAATCGTGAATGCATAAAGTCACCACGAACATGTTCAAACTCGAAAAAAAGTTAAATAAAGCTGATTCAAGTACTATCTGTAATTTGACATTCCCTGTGCTACTGTCCCTTTTCACTACCATGACAGCAAAGTGAAGTAGGACTTTAAAAACTGTAGTAAGAACTTAAATATATGAAACTGGTTGACTCTCAGTGTGGAATGAGATGTTTAGTACTTGATCAATGTCAAGTCTTTATAAGGTCACAAAGAGTTTTGGATTATGAAAGGCTTCTGAGGACTCACTCATACATCTTTATTGCCTAAAAAGGAGAGCTGGCTTTTAAAACCTATTCTGTCATTTTCAGCTATAAATTTCCTTTAAGAGGAAGCTACACTGTTGAGAGGTTATTTTATTTTTTTATTGTACTTTAGATGAAGGTTTACAGAAAAAAGTTTATCATTGAACAGTATACATATTGTTTTATAACAATGGTTAACAACCCCACGACATGTCAACACTGTCCCTTCTCAACCTTGGGTTCCCTATTACCAGCTTTCCTGTACCCTCTTGCCTTCTAGTCCTTGTCCCTAGACTGTTGTGCCCCATTAGTCTTGTTTTGTCTTATGGGGCTGTCTAATCTTTGGCTGAAGGGTGAACCTCTGGAGTGGCTTCATTACTGAGCTAAAATGTTCTCTGGGGGGAGAGATCAGTTAATTTTAACAATAATTTCTTATTTACACCAATAGATTTTTTTTTTTATTATCTGATCTATAATGACCATACACTTGGGAATTCTTCATTTGGCTGAACAAAAAATGTTAAGGGCACAGAAAAATTTTACCTCAGAGGCACAGATAAAGTAATCTTGTTGGGGGGAAAAAAAAAAAAATCTCTTTCCGACACACATGAATTCTATTACAATGAGACCACATCATACAGTTAGCAAGCTGTTTTACAATCAGCTGAAATTAATGATTTATGATTGATTCAACGGTCTCTTTCTATTATGAACCAACATACCTAGGGAATAACAGAATGAGACTAAGATTTATTGAACCCTTCCTATAGTATAGGTATTGTACCAGTTGCTTTATATTCTTTATTTCATTTAATCTTCAATAACTCTATGTGGCAGCTATTATATTATTTTCTTTTAATAAAGGTCAAGTCGTGAATGTCCCAGTATATGACAAGAGCAGATAATATTCCAGCCCATACCCAGACAGCATTTTCTCATCCAATTCCATAGCAGAGAACAACGAGTTATCTGTCTTTTGGGGGATAAGGTGGTGTTGGCAAGTAAATTCCTAACCTCAAACTCACTGCCGTCAGGTTAATTCCGACTCATAGTGACCCCATAGCGTTTCCAAGGCTGTAAATTCCTACGGAAGCAGACTGTCACATCTTTCTCCTGTTGAGCCGTTGGTGGTTTTGAACCACCAACCTTTTGGTTAGCAGTCTATCACTTTAACCACTGCGCCACCAGGGCTCCTTAGTAAACTTCTATACCTGTATAACTTCAAACCCCTGTATGGGTTTATGATAATCAGAATGTCATGGAATAGGGTGCTTTGGAAACTAGTCAACAGCCCTTCCCTGAAGGAGTCTTACCAAGGACCAGAGGGGTCATCTGTTAAGGCAAGCTGTTGAAAGACTTATTTACCAAGATGAAGCTGGATAAACTGGCTGTTTACAGCCACAAACAATGGCTGGGAATAACCTCTAATCTTACCAGGCCAGGTGGTCCCTGGTATTAAATAAATATTTACGATGCTGAAGTTTTTCATTAACTGCTATCAAGAACAGCTGTGGTCAGAGCTTCCTAAATTGATTTACAGGGTATGCATTATCCATTAATATCAGGACTTACTGTGACTTTTCGTCTGTTTCTGGGAGTGGGCCCTTCCAAAGTTCAGATTCTGAAGCACCTTCTTCTTCATCAGAGTTTCCTATTCATTTTTAAGAGATTTTTAAAAATGTGAGTACTATATTTAAAACACATTTTGAACTACCCACCATGGCAACTAAAGTAACTTTGAAAATAACTGCAGTTTAGCTTCAATTTTTATGGTTCTCTGAAAATTTAATTCACTCTCCGAGATGCAAAAAATTCTTTTTAAAACTAAATAAATAAATAAGCTAAGTGATACCAAAGTATCTCAGCAAAAAGGCCAAAGATTTAAAGTCTCACGGGAAACTCCTCAAGTTAGACTGAGTTAAAGTAGCAATTCTAATATTAATTCTTGTAAGGGATTATCTCTTGGGAGGGAGTTATTGCTTTGATTTAGTATTCCTCTTTTTATTTGTCATACAAAAGACACGCAGTTTAAGATTTCTGTAGAAAGCATAGTTACAATAGGATTAAGTCCTCAAGAACCAAACTAGAATGTAAGACGAGCTAAAACATAAAAAGAAATTTGTCAAATATTTTTTAAAATTAATGCAGATTACACTGATTAGGAGAAGCTGTTTCAGTAAATAAACAGGCATTCTCACACACTGTTGGTAGCAGAAATTCTGTAAACCTGTTTCTTGAAAACAAAAAAATCTGGTAATATATATCAGTTTAAAATGCACATAGCTTTTGACAAATCAATGCTGCTTTTAAGAACTTACTTAGAATAAATAACTACTTTAGATATATGTACAAAGATGTTTACTTCATAATAACAACAACAAAAGGACACCACCTAAATCCCCACCTATGAGGGATTAAATCAAACCCAATGCTGTCGAGTTGATTCTTACTCATAGTGATCCTGTAGGACAGAGTAGAACTGACCCACAGGGTTTCCAAGGAGTGGCTGGTGGATTCAAACTGCCAACCTTTTGGTTAGCAGCCAAGCTCTTAACCACCTGAGCCTCCACGGCTCCTATTAGGGATTAGAGATTGGTTAAATAAATACTACACAGCTGTTTAAAAAAAAAAAAAACAAAATCTTAGCCTATCTATATATGCATTGCCATGGCAGGATATCCATGACATATCAGAATTTTTAGAAGTTACAGAAAGTATACGTAATATGATCCATATTATGTTAAAAATGTGTGTGTATATATGTACATATACATGTCTTAAATTGGAATACACATACATACATATAAATTTATATATGTATCATAAATTTGTAAGGACAAACGAACTTAACAGTGATTATATTACCTGTGGGCCTGGAACATATTTATTTTCTATCTTAAACATTTCCAAATTGTTGAATTTAAACAATGAGTATGAACTATCTTTAAAATTAGTAAAAACAATGAAGATACTTCCATTTTGAAAATATAACAAAATAGATATGTTTCATGTGGATCATCCTATAATAGTCAATCAAAAATTATAAAATACTGAAAAATGTATTATGAGGCAATAAAATCATTTTCCATAAAGTAACTGCATTAGCAAATAATTCCTCTCCAGTAATGACCATTAGGCTAAAAAGAAACTGACACAGATTTGGTCTTCAATACAAGATGTACCTTAGTTAATAAACACAACACAAAAATAAAACATCATTGATTTGCCACAGTGGTTCTAGCCTTTCATCTGTTGGACTTTGATCCTTGAGTCAACATCAGTGTCTGAACTTTGGTCCTACCTGAATAATCTATTCTGGCACAAATTCTAACAAAAATGGCAACAAAAGGAAAAAAAAAAAAAAAAGCTGCATTTCTAATGACCTACATACAGTGACAATAAAATTATAAAGTCTTGGGAACAAGAGTCCTACTCAGTAACAGCCAGCACTGGAATTGCCAGTGTCCCAAATTGAATATATGAATAGAAAAAGTCCTCTACTCTTATTATTATGAAAACTAACATAAAGAAAGTATAGAAACACTAAATAGGCTTAATAAAGCTATTACTATGGTGTTACCTTGTTAATGGTGTCAGAGAACAAAAACTACAAGGCCTTTGAAAGCCAGCAAAGATGAGAAGACCCTGATGCTAATTTCAAAGGGACTTAAACCACCTGTTCTCTTGTTCCTTCCCAAATGCCACCTTTCCTATACCAGTTTTCTGATACCAGACTATCCAGTTTTACTAAAAAACATTTAGAATAACATTACAAAATAACCCTCTTTGAAAGACCACACACTGAAAAAGTGGCCAAATATTCTTAGAAAACCAAGTCCACACGGTTTTAGACTAAATAACCTTTCACGTCCCTTACAACTCTATGAATCTATAAAACCCTGCTTCCCTGAAGGTGACAGTAACTATGAATCATTCCTGATAATCACTACAACCTGCCAGAGGTGGAAAGGGTGTTGCTGAGGAAATAACAGTTGGAATAATGGGCAATACAAATGATATTCTTGCATCAGTGTCAAATGTAAGCAGTAATTATTGGCAAGTGTGGATCAGAATTTAAGTCACTGACACTCTGAGTTGGAAGGGGAACTGGGAGGTCATTTAATCCAACCCTTACCCAATGAATGAATCTCTTATTGCAACAGCCCCACAAACAAGTGGCTGTCCAATATATGCTTGAACACCTTACTACTTCCTAGGACAGCTCATTCCTCTTTTCAGACTGTTCTAATTGACAAGTTTTTCCTTAAATTAAGGCAAAATTCATTCTCTTTTATCCATAGACTCTAGTTCTGCCAACCAAAAACAAGTTTACTATGTAGCAGTCTTGAAAATACCTAGTTTTCACGTCTACCTTCCCCTTCCCCTCCATTTCTTCATTCTTGTTTCTCCAAGCTAAACATCCACAGTTCTTCCAACACTCTTCTGTTACAGAGTTTCTCGTTCTTTTAACCCGGGCTTCGAACCTGTGTCGGTTTGACCCCCTGCTGAGAATTTGTATTTCCATCCCAGATATACTGAATCAGAATCTACACTTTAACAAGATCCTCAGGTGAGGATTTAACCCTCAGGTGATCTTGTTAAAGTGTAGATTCTGATTCAGTGTATCTGCAGTGAAAAGACAACTTCTCAACAAGGGGTCAAACCAGACAGAACAAATTCAAAGCCCTGCTTTCAATACCTTGGTTGTTCTCAACCTGCTTTAGGTTTTCAATGTTCCTTTTAAACTGTGATGTCTAAAACAGAGTACAATTTTCCCTAACTTGGCCTACAGAAGAAATGGCCAAATTCTCCAATTATCACAATAAAAACAAACGGACACATCAGACTTTTATAGACTTAACTTTTGATCAGATCAATTCTAGAGCATAAACAGAATCTATTTAATTTCTAGTATTTTTCTTTTTCCTGATATAACAATAATAGTAGCTACAGATTATGTGTCAGGCACATGCTTTACACATATGCTATTTCATTTAAAAATGTGAGTATTATATTAAAAACACATTTTGAATTACCCACCACTGCAATTAATTAATAATCCCACAAAGTAAGCATCTTTATATCCAAATTACAGGCAGATCAAATCATTTAAGGTGAATTTGTATAATTTATCTGCCAAAACTAGGGTATAAAGAGTGAACTTAACATATGATTCTTTGATAACAAGTTATTAAAAGGCACAGAGTTTGGAGGTACAGCCTGTGTTTAACCCCAGCTCTGCCATTAACTATTTAATCTTAGGCCAAAAAAGAACCTGTCGCTGCCGAATAGATTCTAACTCATATAGACCCTATACCTTATGCAGTTCAACTAAATTCTCTGGGTCCTGGTTTTATCATCTGCAAAATGGGGGTATTACATGCCTATTATTAAGATAAAATGAGGTAAACACAACTAAAGCACTTGTCATTGTGGCTGACAGAATAGGCAATAAATGCAAGTTAAAATTATTTCTCCCCATAGAAAGGGAGTTTTCCTTCATGGATTTGGTTTTAATAATCCATATGTTAAACGGGCTAAAAAGGTAACTGAATGTTATCCAAATGGAAATGATAAGACAGAAATAGCAAAATTTGAGGTCAGAAATTACCAACGCCACATAAGACAGATCACTGGCCACTTGAGAAGATATCTGGCTTTGACATACCGTTAACGGTATACATGGCTCTTACTTGCTATGATAAATAGCGTTCTGGTTGCCAAACAGATAGCAGGTCACTTTGTGGTGAATTATTTGCTTCTTTAAGAGCCAAACTAAGCTACAGGTTCTTCAGATTGGGTACAATCTTCTCCCCTCTCCTACTACTTTAAGTGTGACCTACTGAGGAGAGGTAAAGGAGGAGACTTAGGGCTCTGTCTGGGAGATGGGGGAGAATTCAGAGGGCTGGGGTGGGGGAAGAGTGAGAGGGAGAAGGAAAACAGAGGGAATGAAACCATGCATATAAATGAGTCAAGAACTTTCCCCAAAAGATTTTTTAATAACGAAAAAATTGGAATTGGAAAGGGGGAGTGTTTTTTTCCACATTAAATACAAGCATTATTTCCACATAGGCCTTCATATCTCTAAATGTTAAGTCCCACATTTTTCACTGCAATGTATTGTTGGAAATGGCCAAAAACTAAAATTAACTTTTCCATTTTAGTATCTATATACTTTTGTTTAGGTCTTTATATCTACTATTTCAGCCCAGATAGCATCTGTCCATCAGTCTCATGCCAATGTTCTAGAAGCATCACTATACCTAATTTAGGAGAAGGAGCTACTGATAAAAGATTCAGGTGGGGAGAAAGGAAGTATCAGTGCGTTTGGACACTTCAAATATGCTGAAAACAAAATCAGGGCAAAACAATTTATAAAGAATACGCTGTATTTCTAAACTAGAGGAATACCTCCCACTGATATCTCCCTCTTCATTAACTTTTTAAGCAGTAAATATCTAAATATTTATATTTTTCTCAGTGCAAATTTCTCACTATTGAACACTTAAAATTTCTCCTTAAGAATTATACTAAAATACTAATGATATTTATATTTGAGCTGTAGGACTTTTGAATAACTGTTAATTTTTTTCCCTGAATTTACCACAGTAAATATATATAACCTTAATATCAGAAAGAAAAAAATAATAATAATACTTAAGCCTATAATCTTCCAAGTAAGCCTAGAGGTCTCCAATTTCTAAATGTCTATGAAATAAATCCAGGTATTATAAAATAAATTAGAAATGCTATTGAACTATACTGTTAGGCCTTCAGCTTGTTGCACGGTCTCTAAGAAATTCAATATCGTATTTCTGTTGAAATTTAGTTATATCTGTTTGTTATATTACAAATGGGATGCCCCCTCCCACCTTTTATGAACCCATAGGAAATTATGCTCTCAAAACTCTGCAAGGAAAAAGCTGTACATACTCCAGATTCTTTTTATTATCTGATTGGTACAATTTATCACGCTACTGGCAGTCTTCCTCTTTGCCTTGGTTGTTAGGAAGAACAGTGACAAACTCGTGATCTACTTCTGCAATTATGCAGGACCGTATGGTACACATTTGTCTGTAAGAATTTTACTTCTATTGGTAAAATTGTCTTTTTATTATACCTTGTTTTTCATTATTCTGATATCTTTACCTTTAAAAAAACTTATTATATATATTTTTGTAAGTCACTGTAAATACTTTTTGATACGTTACAGGAAAAAAAGTAATAAAACATGCAGCAAAGATTCAAAGAAACCCAAACTGTTTTTATCCACTCTGGTACAAACTATAGAACTTATTAAAAAACTAACCACCAGCAACCACTTGCCAATATTTTCCTTTTCACATACAAACCATACACTTCATCTGATCAGTAAGAATCATTAAATGAAAGAGATCACTTAGACTGGTACAATAAAAGCAACATTCCTTAAATCTTAATCCCCTCCCAATTCCTCTTCCATTCCAACCTCACCCCTGTCTCTCTTAATATTCCTTAATATAAAATTGAAATGCATTTCCATTGTATTACTGAAATCTTTTTTTTCCTGCTCTCTATGCTTAAAATTAGAAACTTTTAAATGTTCTTAATTAGGGAATAAATCATACACTTTGTCTTTTTTCTATGATTTTTCTCACCTTATACAAAAACAAATATTAATGCACATCAGAGAAAGATACTATTCACGGAAAAGCCAAATTATGAATAACTAGAATCTACATATTTTTATTAAAGAAATACTTAATACTCACTATTTATAGAATCTTCTGACTTCTTGGAGGACGAACGTCCTAAAAAGGAAACAGCACTATTTTATTAAGAATCTTGCTGTCGTGTAACAGCTGTAGCTATAGTTTTTCTCCAACATTGTTTGCTTATACTTTTATAGATAAGCACTGATTTTTCTGTCATGTTTCTTAGTCTTATCTCCCCAGTCCAATTAAAATGTTAGGCTCCTTTGGGCAGGAATCATATCTTACACTCTCTCTCATATGGACTGGAATACCTAGTGCACAGCTTAAAAAATACTAAGCACCTGTAAAAATTCTTAGGTTGCTAAAAAAAAAAAAAAAAAAAAAACAACTCATAGATTAGCTGCAATATAAGCAATACTTTCTTTTGTCTATGGAGATATTCAACATTTGAAAGTAGCTGACAAATAAGTACTACTTATTTTCACAACACTCCAAGGTCATATTATACAGGTGAGAATTAGCTCTTGGTAACTGGATAACCACGTATACAATTATGTTATAAAAATAACAATTTTCAGGTCTATAATGGTTATTATTGAGGGAAACAAAAAGAAAAGTACTGAAGATCTACTAATTAAAAAAAAAAAAAGTATACCTAGACAGAGCCTCCTGCAATAAGACCTCACAGGAAAAATTTCTGAAGGCTGTTAAAGCATAAAAAAGGACAGGTAACAGACACAGAGTCACGATTTCTCCAACCTTCTTGGACAGGAAGTCTCATAAGCCAAAGCTGTTGCATGAAAAGCCCCTTTAAGGCCTGACTAAGAGGGTGTGGGAGTCCCTGGGTGGTACAAACCATTATCAACTTAGCTGCTAGGCTGCTAAGTAAAAGGTTGGAGGTTTGAGTCCACCCAGAGGCACCCTAGAAGGCCTGAAGATCCACTTCCGAAAAATCAGCCATTGAAAACCCTATGGTGCACAATTCTACTCTGACATACGTAGGATGGCCACGAGTCGGAATCAACTTGACAGCAGCTAGTTCTTATTTTTTTAAGACAGAGTGAGAACTACAGAGAAAAGACCTCAATGATAGCTAAGGCCTGAACTGCAGCAATTGATTTTTGTTGTTTTTTCACTCTTAATTATCTCCTAGTCATCACAGAGCAAATAAAATAGCTAAGCTTCAGGTGGCAACAGAAGAAAACTTATTTTTCCCTGCTATCCTCTAATATGGGGAACATAACTGTTTCCAAATATCCAAAGGTCAATAGGTAAAAATGAGGTTAGGCTTACTTTGAGAAGCCTATCATGTATCCTTTCAATCATGATTCCAGAGCTGATCTCTGACAGTCCTTTCAACTCTGAGAAATTGTGGTTGAATTCACTGATTCACTAACTTATCTAACATTAACTGAATTCCTCCTATGTGGAGCAAGCACTGTACTAGGGATTGGAGATACGAGGGTTATACAAGTCACATAGTCTCTTCCCTCAGAGAAAATAAGTTATTCCAAGGGTGATACGTCTTTCTAAAGGAGAAGGTACAAGATGCTGTTAAAATGTGTATTAGGGACCTAAGTTTCTCTGGAGTGAGACAAAAGGTACCAGGGAAGACATTCCCAAGAAACTGATGTAAGCTAAAACCTGAAGGATGAGGTACCCTTTGGGGAAGGGGTGGTGGTGAAAGGGATAAGATTTTGAACTTTCTGCCAAGACAATCTACTTAAGTATCTTGTTCTGCCCTTACATGCCAAAGCAAACTGGTCCTCAAAGTCAACTTACTGATCTTTCTTACTTTTCTCTCTATCCATTCATTTAGCCATTTAGTCATCCATTTGTCCATCCATTTATCTGTTAATTTATTTGACATTCTTTTAATGATAGTAAACTGAACAAAAGTTCTAGGTAAGAGCCCTGAGGAACTCCAACATCTAAGGGTCAGACTGAGGCAAAACTGCAGTCAAAAGAGGCTGAGGAAAGGCCAGAGAAATAGGAGGAAAACAAGAAAGCAGGGTACTTTGAGGAGAAATGGCCAACAGTTCAAATGCTGCTGCGATATTAAGCACTTACTAATTACTCCTCAAATCTGAGCCAAATTAAGGTAGTCTGGCAAGAGAAAAGGGGCTCTGGCGGTGCAGTGGTTAAGCATTCAGTTGCTAACCGAAAGGTCAGCAGTTGGAACCCACCAGCTGCTCTGTGGGAGAAAGATGTATCAGCCTGCTTCTGAAAAGATTTATAGCCTTGGAGATGCTACAGGGCAGCTCTGCTCTGTCCTATAGAGTCGCTATGAGTTGGAATCGACTCGACAGCAATGGGTTTGGTTTGGTTTGGTTTTTGGCAAGACAGAAATCACATCAAGATCAACTTAGTTCCAGAGGATCCCAGATAAGGAAATTAGGGTTCCACACTGTTTTCCTAGAAGTGTGATAAAAATTGTTATTTTTGTTTTATACCATAGAAACTGAATAAAAGAATTACCTCCTGGACTCTGTTCTCAAAAGTGCTCTGAGTAGAGAATAAATGAAATCACATGCATACATATGGATACTCTGAACAGCCCAATACCACCCCTGATCCTGAATATCCAGCTACTTACTCCTCCGTCTTGAAGGTACTGAGTACAATTTTACAAGGAAGACATTAGTTCTTCTTTAATTTGGAATGTGCCGTTGATTAACACATAATAATAGTACGATATGAACATAATATTATATAATGCAATAATTAATGAAAAATTTCAAGATATGATACTTTATTTTACTAAACACATAAATATGGACAAAATTTTAAAAATCAAATGAGATTATCACATTTATTAATTAAAATTTATTTTAGAGTTGAGAAATGGTTCAAATAGAAACTAAAATGCATTCTGTTTCAAATACCTTTCTCAATAAACAACAGAAACAATATCTTACTCTCATGATCTGTCATTTTTCCAAGCTAAAACTTGGTGATACTATATGCTGGAATACACAAGGACTGACTACATAAGGAATGTGTCATGACGTGCAAGAAGAAGAAAAATGCATATAAGAATACAACATATCTAATTATCTTCATAGCTGGAGCAAGGGAGCCCTCTCTTGTCCAAGTATTACATTAACCCTGGCCTGAATCTAATTCAATCTCACATTCTCTACCTATTTTAAGTCTGACTGGTTTATTGTTTATTCCCAATAAGCTATAGCCAATTTGGTTCTACTTATATTATGGACTAAAAAAGCAACTAAAAGTAACCTTCACCATAGCTAACTATGTGCCAGGTACTATGCAAAGTGCTTACATGCACTTATCTTATTTCAGCCTTTGAACAATCCTGAGGTAGAACTATTATCCTGACTATTTTAAACATGAAAAAAACGAGGCTTAGTGAGCATAAGGACTGCTGACGAAGAGGTAAGTGGTTGACTAATGGATTTAAATTGACAATATACTAAGCATACGTGCATAGCATCATGTTAGGTTCTGAGGACACAGACATATATCAATCCCATTTCAAGAAGTTCATAAGCTAGTATGAAAGTCATATTGATCATTATAACCAAAATCACAGCATTATAATTATTCATTTATAGATTATGTATTGTTCAAAGTACCTTTCACATTGTTATTTGATTCTCCTAAATGAGCTTGAGGAGTGTGGCGGCCCTTACATACATGAGGAAAGTAAAACTCAGGAAGTTCAGTGACTTGCCCAAGGCCACAAGTCTGTAAGTGACAAAGCCACCTGTCAAAAATTTATCAAAGCCAACTTTGTCTTACAGCTCCTGTTGTTGTTGTTGTTAGTTGCTGGAGAGTAAATTCCGACTCATGGCAACCCCATGTGTGCAGAGTAGAACTGCTCCATAGGGTGTTCGTGGCTGTGATCTCTCGGAAGCAGATCGCCAGGCCTATCTTGTTCCAAGGCTTCTCTGGTTCCAACCATCAACCTTTTGGCTAGTAGCACTTAACCGCTTGTGCCACCCAGGGGCTCCATACAATTCCAGTAAGCCACTGTAAATTCATATCTAAATTTTCAACCAGTTTCAACTACTCTAAAACAAAATTTTAAATACACCAATTACATTCTACATTGGAGACGTATGTCAGATTACACTTAATGTTCATAAATGTGAGTAGATATTATATCTTCTATTTACCTTTGTCCTTTTTTTTGGAGGTTTCTTTTTCAGAAGATAATCTGGATTTTTTATGGGATGACTCTTCACAATCTTTTTTGGTTTTATCCTTTCTGTTTTTTAACTTGACTTCTTTTTTCCTTTATGTAAACAATATAAAATAAATTTTTGAACTGACTTTTACAAACAATAAAAACCAATGAGAAAAAAAGAAAATCAGTAAAAGTACCTGTTTTAAAATGTAATTTATATAATAAGAAACCCGTAAAGGGGTCTACAAATATTTTAGGTTAACATATTAATTAAGATAATTCTTGTAGGATAATGAAGCCTGAACATGCTGAGATAAAGAATTATTTTTTATAAGTTCTGTATACAACCTAAAATATAGTTTTACTCATGTCCTTTTTATATTGTCATGTAGTCATTCAACAGAAAATTATAAAAACCAATCTCATTTCCCTCCACAAAATTCACATCGACCTATACTTTGAAAAAGCACACAAAACGTGAAGAAGCTGCTGTAACAGCTCTAAACCACCAGTAAATAGAAAATTCTTCTCTTAGAAGAAATGTAGTGAAAGTATAAGGAATGAGGGTAGAAGGGGATTGTTAACTCGTATGTCTACTTTAGACCATTTATCCTCTTAGTATTATAGCTTTATCACATCTGGGCCAGGTTTTCAAAGTTGTCAGTACCATGGTGGACAAGTAATTCTTTTTAATTGGTTAAGAAAAGAAATAGTAACTAGGAAAAGGCGATAATGCTGAAATTGGGACTGCGAAGGATGATAAAGATACAAACAAGAGGATTACTTTCAAGAAACTTGTTTATCAGACCTTCCAAATTAAGGGGGCACAGTGGTTAAGAGCTATGGTGAACTACGGCTGCTAACCAAACGGCTGGCAGTCTGAATCCACCAGCTGCTACGTGGAAACCTTATGGGGCAGTTCTACTCTGCCCTGTAGGGTCGCTATGAGCTGGAAATGACTTGATGGCAATAGGTTTTTTTTTTTTTTTGGTTAGTGACAGATGCTACAATACTATTGAAGGTAGTAACCACTTTTTGCCTCTTCCATAAGAATCATTTCAATTTTGAAATAAAGGTAAAAAAAAATCAGATTTCTTTAAGTGTCACTGCTAGAGAGGAGAAATAATGGTTTAGGTTATTCAAATAATCTAAAATATCCTGCTAATTTTAAGAATTAAATATTATTAATATTTAAAACCTAGGCTACTAAAGTAAATTTATAATAAAGCTGCTTGTAAAAATTAGTACGCTTATATATACATTTTATAAAATCACAGAATCTCACTATCAGACTTTCAACTGTTATTCAGGACATGTAACCTGACCACCACAACAACACAACCATGACAGGTTACAAAGACTTTATCTAAACATTTTCAATGCTGGGTAATCCACTAATTTTTATTTACATACTTTCATTTAATCCTCACAATAATTTCAGAATCCTCATTTTTACAGATGTTAAAATTCAGTCTTACAAAGTTAAGGAGTTTGCCCAAGAAGTCTAGTAAGTAGAGTAGCTGAGAGTAATACCCAGGTCTGTACAATTTCAAAATTCCATGATCTTATCATCTTATATTGCACACTGCAGGACAATGGTACCCCCTCACACTCAATAGGGCAGATATATTCAAGCTCATTCACTAGGAGCCTGATTTTAACATTTGGAATGAATGTCAAAAAACAAAAAAAACCCAAACCCGTTGCCATCTAGTAGATTCCAATTCATATGTCTAATTCTTTGGAAGAATGATAAACTCCAATTGAAGTATTGTTTAAATGAGACAGAAGAACTACTTTATGAAGATCTGCTTTACAACATAGTTTCTATCTTCATGTCTGAACATTGGCTCCAAACCCTGCATAGGCCTTCACATTTAAAACTGCCTGACTAGCATAGGGCATGGTGAACTTCCTGTTCCCTAGTTTATGCACTCATACAGTAATGTCTGCTATTCTCTATAACCAACAATTCAACATCAACCACCTAAGGCTACATTTAGACACTCAGAGTAAGTAAATGACTACGACCAAGACTACTACACATTAAGAATGATATTTTAAAAGACAATATTACCTGTGGTGAAAATTTAATTTACAGGAACATTCTTGGCATAACCCTTCAAAAAAAAAGAAGACGGCACTGAGTTGCTGAATTTGAATAACTACACTGCTACTCTTAATATAATAAATTCTCCTTTTCCTTACATTCGTTTACTATAAGAGAGGAAGCAAATAATCTGAAGAAAACAATCTGATCTCTCCACCTCAAAAATACATTTACATATATTATAAAAATATTAGAATCCTTGAGGAACTGAAATGATTCAAAACATTACATTAGAAAAGTGGGCTGTCAATTTATGCTAAAAACAAACTGTGTTCCATAGCTAGTATTAACTTGTGCTTCACATCAAAAGTATCTAACAATAATAATGTGGGAAGAGTCATTTCCTCTGCAGTACTCTATAAACCTTCAAATGGAAAAGAGCTTTTCAAATAGTCTCACAATTAATGGCCTTTTCTTGTGCCTTAATCTCAGTTCACATTTTCCTTGTGAGCATTTCCAGGAGGAACTCAGAAATCAGTCTGTATTGGTGAGCAGTAAGTTGCGTGTGGGGAAATTCTTGACTTCTAGCTAGAGTAGGCAGAAAACTCTGAGGGCACATACACTTAGGACCCAAGTCCATCCATCATTAACATGATGTGGCGGGAGGAGCAGAGGACTATCTAAGTCAATACTAGCTAAAAATGAAAAGAAAAAAAAAAGGAATGACAGATTCTAAAATATTCATATTAAGGGAAACTGCTGTATTCTGGGGCTTATCCCTAAGTTTCTGAGACTGATAATAAGAACAATTATGCCCTCCTAAAATTTTTTATGGACACTGTTAAAAAGAGTGCATTTACTTATTATCCATACCACAACAATATGGCTAAGTCATCGATCAATCTGAGATTTTACATGGCTTTTTGATACTTTGCATCTTAACCATGTAATCTGATGACATTCTTAGGTTAATGGGAAGAGATATTTGCTCTACAAATCAACAGTTTACACTTGGCATTAGAATTGTTTCACCTAAATGTCACCATAATGCTAAGAATATAAAAATTTTACACTGAAAAATTTTTGAGACTTTGAGAAGCTCTGAAGAAAAGAGCAACTTCCAGGAAGATACCCTAGAATTCTGAAATAAATTTTAAATAGTCTGTATATTTTTAATTCTAAATGGTAAGTTAAACTTTGGACATATTAATCATATCCTACCTAACATCAACTTACTTAATTTAACAAGTGCATTTCTCTTTTCACCATGCTCAATATAACCAAAATTAACTTCCCAACTCTTTAAGCCTTCTTTTACATCACAACATTTATTTCCACAGAAAAACTGACCTGCAAAAAAGGAAGGAATATTAGCTATGATAGTCGGTGACAATATTTATCTGTATAATCTGGAATTGTCTTTAAATTTTACTCTCAAAATACACAAATTCTTAACTTTATAAAGTCAGCAGTGAAAAACAGTACTGACCACAATAATTACAGGACGCTCAACAAAAGTGTATATGAGTATTAAATCGAAGAGCTGAAGTGTTTAAAAATAAAATCAGTCACAGCAATTCTTGTTTGATAGATTGCTCATTTATATTTAGAGACAGAGTTTTAGTGATTCCCTGTGAGGGAATCTTCACTTTGAAAGATGTGAGTACTAAACAGTGTACTCACTAACACACTGAAAGAATAAATGCATTTTCCAAAGTACATGCACTTAAGCCTGAGTGAATCCTTTTCAATACTTAATACTAAAATTGATATATTTAAGTACTAATAACATAATGGCACCTATTTTAAGTACTAGCATAAATGATCAACTAAAACACATTTTAAAATTGTAGCACTTTGACATAAAAATATAGTAAGTAATCAAACCTGACACTCTAAATTTTAGAATCACTTGACACTAAAATAACACACTACCATGTCCATTATATATTATAACCTTCTACGAAAAGGACTAACACAGATGATCCAAGAGAAAAAAAAAATTAAGAAATTACCAATTATTTACTTTGATAGAAGAAAACAAGATCAAATTTTTCTATGTACATTCAAAATAAGAATTTATATCCTTAAATAATATCCAATAGGAGCAAATCTGAAGCCAGTAAATCCCTTTCATAGAAAAGTGAAAAATTATCAAAACAAAAAAGCACTAGGCCCAGGTGGTTTTACAGGCAAATTTCACCAAATCTTCAGGGAAGAGTCCTCTCATATAAATCATTCCAGATATTAAAGTAAGCCTAACTATACGTTCAGCTGGTGGCATAGCCAAAGAAATAATTATTTCTAGCAATTTTAAAATAAAGCACACTGACTGTATAGCCCTAGTGCAATATAGTCTAAGGGGGAAAAAAACTGCAAAGAAATCTTAAATTGAACTTAGTAGTCTTATTGTTAGCTTCAAAATAATATACCAACAATACTACTATATGTTTATTGCAAATTAAAGGAAACAAATAATTATTTTTGTGGCACCGGTTACCAAGATTTTCAGGATAAGAAAAGCACAAGTATAAAATAAAATTAAAAAATTAAGTATAAACCATGTCTTCTCAATTTAGACCGGATATATCAGTATAAACTCTTATTTTTCTCCATCTAAAAATATGTATCTCCAAGCTCTGTTCACTGAAAAGTCAGAGAAACAGTAACAACCCAATAGCAATGAGCATCCCTAATACCGAGATTGTGTCCACTATTTACCATTTTTCACTAAAGGCTCCTCAGAAAAATAACTAATTCAATGGCAGAAAATGTTACCGGCTAATCCTAGCTCATGTAGTTGTGCCATAAAGTAAGGACATTATCAAAATCTATTAAGATCATGTCAAAAGAACAGCAGTCACCCTGAAGAGGATTCCATTTGAAATTACAGGAAAATTTGAACATTAAAAGAATAATGACAGCAACGGACTGAAAGACATCAAATATATAAAAATCTATAACGATGGTTTTAAAAACTCATTTTTATCGTTAGAGATGTCCAACTCATGATTCCAAAAATAAAAAAGGAAAAGAATCAAACATTCATCCTTTGATAGTTTCCTTGCTATCACATCTTTTACCCTTCAGACATTTTCCACACATTCTCAACTGAATGTTCTGAAAGCAAAAATTCTGTAAAAATCATTAAACCATTATATTCTGAGCTTGGTAATATATCACAAATACACTCTAACTTACTTTGGTAGATAATCATTCATTGTATAAATTAGGAATCATCTTACCCAATTATTTCAACTCACTAATATAACAAAATAACCTGTATCCTGTTAAAAAGTAAAAAAAATAAATAAAAAATTACCTTTTCCTGAAATTACTTCTTTTTCTACTCTCCACCTAAATCCAAACTGATGAGAAAAAAATTACATTGTGTGCCAAAATAAATTTAAACATTACATTTAAAATTATATATAAATCTAAACTTGGAATCAATGATTGACATAATGCCACTTACCAACCTAAAAAGTAAACTTAATTCCCATCATGATAGCTTTTTCTCCTCTTATAGGATTCTAGGTACTTGAAAAGAAGTTTGAACAATAACCAATATATCTGTTAAGGAACTATCTTTTTCACCTTCAAACTACCTTAAAAGTTATAGATGCCAGGCTGCAAGATACCTAAGTTAATAAATAACAGATACCCTGATCTATGATCCCGACCAAAAAAAAAAAATAGTTACTTAACTTCTCTAACAGAACCTACATCACAGGTTGTTGTATTAAGATTGGTAATTCAGATGAAGTGTTCAATGACTGACACACAGTAAAAGTTGTTAACTTCGGTTATTACTTATATCGTCTATTACTTGAATGAGGCAATTCTGTATTTAAATACAAATGAGGGCTGAAGATAGTCTATAAAACCTAACAAAAATAAAATCCTCCAAGTCTAGGAAAAAAAGAAATGCAAAATAACTCAGTTTAATTCTATTTTTTAATCCTATATATGTAGCAGGGATTACCTGCCATCTGAAATATGTTGGAATGTCTATTGAAGCACAGTCAGATGTACACAGCAATAGTTTTCAAACTTTTTCTTCCATTCATTACTCTATTGAACAAATAATTATTACTTATTTGTCTTGGCATTCTGCTAAGGATTAAAAAGTGATTATTAAAATGAGTCTGTCAAGGACTAATGGACCACGACTACCACAGCCTCCACCAGACTGAGTCCAGCATCATGAATAGATGGTGGCCAGCTACCACCACTGACTGCTCTGACAGGGATCACGATAAAGGGTCCCAGACAGAGCTGGAGATAAATGCAGAACAAAATTCTAACTCACAAAAAAAGACCAGACTTACTGGTCTGATAGAGACTGCAGAAACCCCAAGAGAATGGCCCCCGGATACCCTTGTAACTCAGTACTAAAGTCACTCCTGAGGTTCACCTTCAGCAAAGATTAGACAGGCCCATAAAACAAAATGAGACTAAATGGGCACACCAACCCAGGGGCAAGGATGAGAAGGCAGGAGGGAACAGAAAGGCTGATAACGGGAACCCAAGGTTGAGAAGGGGAGAGTGTTGACACGTTGTGGTGTTGGCAACCAATGTCACAAAACAATATGCATAATAATTGTTTAATGTGAAACTAACATGCTCTGTAAACCTTCATCTAAAGCACAATAAAAAATAAATAAACATGGATCTACACAAAAAAAATAAAGAGCTCTGAAAACGGTAACAATTTTACAAAATACTGTCTGTCATCAAGGTTATAATCTTATGGGTGGGGGGGGAATAAAAAATGTAAAAAAACAACTAAAATATATTCTACTAGTTGAAGATCCTGTAGAAGCTTTGCCTCAGTATGTACTTATATTCTTTACTGAAATAAGTTTTTCCTGCTGAAAAGTCAGATTAAAAATATTAAACCTTTAAACACTAGAATTACCTAGGGCTTGGTGCTAAGTCTCCTTCTCTTCTCACTCTACCCTCTATCACAAAGGCGTTACACATATAAGCAATAAAAGAGAAGGATCCATACTTCCAGACGACACAAGGTTCTATGACCATATACTTGGACTGACATATAGAAGAACAATAAACTTATAGCTCCTTTACAAGTCAGTACTATCTGGGAGTGTTCTCTGTTCCTTACTTCTAAATCTAATCCTAACTGATACAATGACCCAACTAAGTTCTAAATGTTGAAAGGGAAAAGGAAGCCTAAAAAGGAATGGGAGTGTGGAGCAAAGGCAGAAATTCCATAAAAATGCCCTAAGTATAGAAAGATTAGTCCAAAGGACTAATGGACCACAACCACCATGGCCTCCACCAGACTGAGTCCAGTACAACTAGATGGTGCCTGGCTACTATCACTGACTCCTCTGACAGGGATCACAATAGAGGGTCCCAGACAGAGCTGGATAAAAATGTAGAAGAAAATTCTAACTCACAAAAGAAGGCCAGACTTACTGGCCTCACAGAGACTGAAGAAACCCCGAGGGTATGGCCCCTGGACTCCCTTTTAGCTCAGTAATGAAGTCACTCCTGAGGTTCACCCTTCATTGAAACATTAGACAGGCCCATAAAACAAAATGAGACTAAAGGGGCACATCAGCCCAGGGGCAAGGACTAAAAGGCAGAAGGAGACAGGAAGGCTGGCTGGTTAATAGAGAACCCAAAGTTGAGAAGGGAGAGGGTTGACATGTCATGGGGTTGTTAACCAATGTCATAAAACAATATGCGTACCAACTGTTTATAATGAGAAGCTAGTTTGTTCTGTAAACCATCCAAAGTACAATAAAAAGAAAAAAATTTAAAAAGTAAAATGAGACAATTAAAAAAAAAAAAAAAAAAACCCTGAAGTATCTACCATATATATTAGGCACTGAGCTAGGAACTGGTTAATTAAAAATAAATTGTTGTTTTTAGGCGCCGTGAAGTTGGTTCCAACTCATAACGACCCTGTGTACAACAGACTACTGGATCCTGCGCCATCCTTGTAACTGTTGTTATGTTTGAGTCCATTGTTGCAGCCACTGTGTCAATCCATCTCCTTGAGGGTCTTTCTCAATTTTGCTGACCCTCTACTTTACCAAGCATGATGTCCTTCTCCAGGGAATGGTCCCTCCTGATAACGTGTCCAAAGTATGGATGAAGTCTAACCATCCTTGTTTCTAAGGAGCATTCTGGCTGTACTTCTTCCAGGACAGACTTGTTCATTTTTCTGGCAGTCCATAGTATAGTCAGTATTCTTTGTCAAAACCATAATTCAAAGGCATCAATTATTCTTCGGTTTTCCTTATTGATTGTCCAGCTTTCGAATGTATATGAGGCAATTGAAAATATCATGGCTTGGGTCAGGCACACCTTAGTCCTCAGGGCAACATCTTTACTTTTTAACACTTTAAAGAGATCTTTTGCAGCAGATTTGCCCAATACAACACATCACTTGGTTTCCTGACTGCTGCTTCCATGGGCATTGATTGTGGATCCAAGTAAAATGACAACTTGACAATTTCAATGTTGTCTCCATGTAGCATGATGTTGCTTATCAGTTCAGTTGTGAGGATTTTTGTTTTCTTTACACTGAGGTATAGTCCGTAGGTTTTTAAACATTAGATACAAAATGGACACTATACTAGCTATAAGATATTGTGAAGCAACACACATATTAGACACTACTGAAAAAAATTATTAAACCAATCATGGTTCTAGCTAGTGAGATCTAACTATTTTAACAAAAAAGAAATCCTTATGATATATAAATCTAACATAGCTTCTTAAATAGGCTGTCTTTCTTAATATAAATATATACTATCCATAACATACATATTTATGCAACATTCCCTCTCCTCCTATTTCTAAATGAGCTAAGTCTGTTCCTGGGTCACCTTCTCCAGCTACAAGTCTAAAACTGAAGCTAGGAATAAAAAACTTTAATTAACTAAAGTAAGATATAATGAGAGAAAGGAAATCTACCATTACTAATTACCAGTGATAAGTTAACTTTACTAGACATATAACAGAAGATGTATATTTGCCTCTTTATAAATGTTAGTTTGAAAAAAAAAACTATCAATTTCAAACATCTGTGAAAAGAATAAAAAACATCATTATGCCATGTCAAATTATTCATTATAATCACAGAGGAGCTAGACTAGAATCAGCATGAAACAGGATCCAGTAGCCACTTGTGTTTAATTTTAGACTTTTCATGCCTCAGCTCACAAGAAAGCATCATTGTCCAAGGGACCCTTTTCTAAATTCCTTAGCTGCAGAGGTTAAATGGTCCAAATCACACTTCACAGGTGCAAGAAAACTTAGACTAGAATTATCTTTAAAAGAATAATGTGGGATATGATAGTATAATAAAAATTAATATTGTCCTTAAATAAGAATCTCCTTCTAGCAATATTCTGAAGGCATACCTTATTTTCTTTGTATTTACTGAGATCTGCTATGCAGTATTCCTTGAATAATTTATCATAGTATTTCTTTGCAAGTCTCTTCTCCCTAGATCCATAAAATTACAAATATTACCCATTAAGAAATCCAATCACAGTTTGCTTCTTGGAAGCAATGTCAAATAAACAACACATATGATATAAATATTAACATTTTAAAAGAAGCCTATTACTTACATGCACATAGACTATCTGGATATTAACTATTAATAGTGGTTCTCTATTAATAGTGGTTCTCTAAGGAGAGAAACTGGAAGACTGTCAGTCAGAGATGATTATTCTCTGTTTTTTATCCTTTGTAACATCTGAATTTTTAAAAATCATTCTCAGATATTATTTATCCTCAGAATATTTTAAAAATTTAAAAAGCATACAGTAGCATATTATAAGGCAACACACAGTGAAACCTGTGACAGCCAGAACTTGACGGGACTGCCTTGTTTTTCCAGGTCTCACAAGTTTTCCACCTACGACGGGGTGCAGTCTTACCACTTTTCTATTGCTCATTTTAGTGGAAAATACTTGAGTTTCCCTTCACTGACAAGTTTCCACCTTACAGAGGTTCCCACTTTCACAAGTTTTACTGTACAATCTTGTAAAAAATGTGACAAATTATTTAAAGACAAAGTCAAGCAATGAGTCAGTTAAAACTGCCAAAAATGACCAAAACAATCAAACCAGGTTCAATATTCCTAGGCATGGTTTTATGTCCTTAATAAAGAAATTTTCTATGAAGGGGCTGAATGCCCTAGATGAGTGACAAAGTAAGAATACACTCAATAGCACAGAGACAGAACTAAAACATTGGATGTATTATGCCTCTGATGGCTAAAATTACCAAGTCATGTCCATTTCATCCTCCTCATTCCATAGGAATCTATGATTTTCTCGTATAACATCCAAATCTGTTTTGTCATTTTCTCTGGAAAATGAAATTATTTAAATTTAGTACAAAAATAAAATTAGTCAAATTTAGGTTAATCAGTTCCGTGAGACTTTCGAAAACCTCAGTGAAAATATAATACAGGAAAATAAACACTGTTATAGGATGTACATATATATAAAACTATTTCAGTATTCTCAAAAGGCATTTTATAGAGTGCTGCTACAGAAGCAAGACAAATGAATAAGGAATCCATCTGTCTCTAGTGCTGGTTTCAATTCAACAAATGGTGCTAAGTTACCAATGCTAGGATGAGAAAGCTGAATAAACACTAAATGAATAAGGATATGCAAATAAAAATAAGTTTTAGGATCTAACCAAAAGTAACACTACTCTATCGAGCTCTTTTTAAAAAAAAAAAAATTTCCAAACTTCATTTTATGACAGCTTCCTGGGAATATGAAGTAAGGTAGGAAGAGAGTTGAAGGGGATGATCTCTCAAGATAATATGCTAACATTTTGAGGGCAGGGCAAGGGGTCATTGAGGGATGTAGGCTAAATCGACAGAGATACATTTAGGTAAATGAGATGGTACTGAAGTTCGTCAGGGCCTTTCCAACTCTCATAATTGTTAAGTCAGAGAAAAGCCCACACAAAACCAAGAGGTGCTGACAGAAGAGCCTCAAATGCAGGAAAAAATTTCACATGTGAGAAAACACTAGAGTGAGGTTTCTTGCAATACCCCATCTTTTAAAAAAAAATCGCAAACACTAAGTTCTAAAAAGTTCAATATCTCAAGATTCCTTACAAAAAAAATTTACTGCATAATCAAACTCTTAAGTCTTTCTCATATATCCTGTTATTGCCAGGGTCAACAGGTGAGGAGGCTCCTGAGGAGGACCTGCGGCAAAAGAAATGGGTTTCTTAGCTAGCGGCCGTGGATAAGGGAATCTCTATCTTAGGATATAATAAGGAAAATAGAACAGAAAGCAGAGGAGAGTAGCCAAATCAGAAAACACAGTAGCTGTAGGCCTTTAATTAAAGTCATCCATACTCCCCTCCTATTCTTTGTAAATGTCATGATACTTACCCCAAACGCCTGAAGTCTTCTTTTTTGCCACCATAGTATAAAATATAATCATTTACAAACTTTTTATGCCTTTGATACTGAAATGCAAAAAATTAAGGATTTTATATACTCAGGAGTTGTGCTGTGTTTATGATATATTACTGAGTGCGGGGGAAAAAAAAAAGCATAGTATGAGTCCAGATGGATTTTTAAAAATATGCCAGTATGTTCTATACACGCTTATACAATTAAAAAAAAAAAAAAAAACTGTGGTACTGGCAAAGAATACTCTATATACTGTGCACTGCCAGAATGAACAAATCAGTCTTAGAAGAAATAAAACCAGAATCCTTAGAAGAGAAAATGGTGAGACTTCAGCTCACTTTACTTTGCATGCATCATCAGGAATGACCAATCACTAGAAAAGAACATCATGTTTGGTAAAGCAGAGGGTCAGCAAAAATGAGGGAAACCCTCAATAAGATGGACTGACACAATAGTCACAACAGTGGACTCAAACACACTAATGATCATGAAGATTGCACAGGACTGGGCAATGCTTTGTTTTGTTATACATAAGGTTGCCATGAGCTGAAGCCAACTCGACAGCAACTAACAACAAAGTACTGTAGGGGGATACAAATATAAATCAATGGAACAGAACAGAGAACCCTGAAATAGAGCCACACAAATATGCTGATTTTTGTCAAAGATGAGAAGCAATTCAATGGAGAAAAAAACAGACTTTTCAACAAAGTGCTGGAGTAACCGGATATCCATAGGCAAGAATAAAAAGGAATCTTGACCTAAGTCTGATGCCTTATACAAAAATTAACTCAAAATGGATCATGGATTTTAATGCAAAAAGTTAAAACTATAAAACTTTTAGAAAAAAATATAGGAGAGAATCTTTGGGATATAGATTAGAGCCAGGCAAAGTGTTCTTAGACTTGACACCAAAACCACAATCCATAAAAGGAAAAACCAATGATTTGGACCTCATCAAAATTAGAAACTTTTGCTCTGTGAAAGATCCACGTAGGATGAAAAGACAAACTACAGACTGGAAGAAAAATGTTCTAGATACTATCTGACAAAGGACTAGTATCTACAATATTAGATAAAGAACTCTCAAAACTCAGCAGTATAAGTCCAATTAATAGCGCATAAAAGACATGAACAAACATGTCACCAAAGAAGACATAAAGATGGCAAATAAGGACATGAAAAGATGTTCAACATCATTAACCATCAGGGAAGTGCAAATTAAAACCACAATGAGAGATCATTAGACAGCTATCAGAATGGCTAAAATAAAAAAGAGGGCCAACATCAAATACTCGCAAGGATGCAGAGATACTGGATCACTCATACATTGCTGGTGGGAATGGAAAGTGGTAGAATCACTCTGGAAGTTTCAGTTTCTTAAAAAACTAAACAGGCAACTACCATACAACTTAGCAATTGCACTTGCAGGCATTTATATCAGAGAAATGAAAACTTACGTTTACATAAAAAATTGTACATCGGGGGAGGCAGAGCCAACACAGTGCTACAGACAGAAGCACTACACCGTCCCTCCACAGCAAAGACCTGAAAAACTAAGTAAAACAGATACAAACATCAATCCTGGAACCCTAAGCATCAAATAAAGGGATAAAGAACTCATCCAAGCACCAAACGGAATAAGAAACTGATAGAAAACAGAGAACGAGGAGAGCTTTGGAGTGGAGAACCCCTATCAGCTAACACAGCATGGATCTGCCATCTCAGACTCCTTAGCCACCAAGAATGGAGGGCAGGGATATGGGAAGGCAGCTTCACAGAGCTCCCAGCAGGAGACAGAGCACCCCGTAACCAGGGATACATGCTTTCGCACTCCCCACCCTTCTTCCTCCTGTGTGACCTCCATCACTTTCTGGCAGGCCGCAGTCCCTCGGTCAGGGAGACACCGGCTCCTTGCCACTTGGATTTGCCATGCCCCCACCAGCCGGCTCTGTTTGTGCCATGTTTTTGTTACTGTTGTTGCTTTTTTGGCTTCTTTTGGTTTCTTCTCTCACCTCCCTCCTTTCCTTTCTCACAAACACCTGGTGCTGTCTGCCATCTCCTGGCTGAGCAGTGCCACTTAGCTGGGGAACCACTTCTCCGGACCATACCATCAAGCTGGTGGGCTCCCTCGGGATTTTTTCTCCTTTTTTTCTCTCTCTCTACCTTTCTTTCTTTCTGTCCTCCCAAACACCTGGTGCCATGTGCCATCTCCACTCCTTCTTGACAGGCTGTGCAGCACCGCTGGGTGGGGGAGCCACTTCCCTGGTCCGTGCCACCACGCCAGTGGGCTCCCTCGGGGCATTGTTCTTTCTTGCTTTTTTTCTTTTCTTAGTTTCTTGTCTCTCTCTACCTTCCTTCCTTTCCCTTCTCCTGAACACCTGGTGCTGCGTGCCATCTCTGCTCCTTCTTGATGGGCTGTGCTGCACCTCTTAGCTGGAGAAACACTTCCCTGGTCTGTGCCACCACACCAGTCGGCTCTCTCAGGGTTTTCTTTTTTCTTCTCTTTTCTCAGTTTCTTGTCTCTCTCTACCTTCCTTCCTTACCCTCCTCCGAACACCTGGCATCGTATGCCATCTCCGCTCCTTCTTGACAGGTTGTGCAGTGCCACTTGGATGGGGAGCCACTTCTGGTGGGCTCTCCTGGGTTATCTTTTTTTTCTTTGTTTCTTGTCTCTCTGTACGTTCCTTCCTTTCCTTTCTCCCGACCACCTTGCCACGTGTGCCTTTTCTCTTTTTTTCTCCCAGTTTCTTATTTATCTCTCCCTTCCTTCCTTTCCTTTCTCCCACCCACCTAGCTGCATGTGCCAACTTTGCCTCTTCTTGATAGGCTGTGCCACACCACCTGGCTAGAAAGCCACCAGCATATGGCTTCCCTGGGTCTGCGCCACTCCAATGGCAGGCTCCCACAGCACCTTTTTGTTTCATTTTGTTTTGCTGTTTTGTTTTTTTGGCTTCTGTTTCTCTTCTTCTTCCTCACACCACTTAGCTCCACACATCACATCTTCCCATTCCCTCCTGCCTATCTGCACCATGCGCTGAGCACCACACCCCCGAGCAGTACAGGTGTGGACCACCAGACCCCACCCTGCACTGCCCCCTGACCCTGCCCTGTCAGCCCCAGTATGTGCCACAAATGACCCATCCCTGCCCCTCTCCCACAGCTGAGAGACTGGCCCTGCCCACTGGACAAGGTGGTGAGAAGTATCATGCCCATAGACAAGCAAACAAAGAACGTCCAGCCCACCTGTCCAGACATAACCAAATAAAACAAAAAAGTAGGAAGAAACAAACAGATCTACAACCAATAAATGAAGAAAATAATTACTGAATATCCCGAGACAGCAGACAATATCAAAACATAAAAAAAAGGACAAGATGGTTCTAGTAGGTGTCCAAAATAAAACACCAGATGACCTTCCGGTAGAAGAAAAGGCACTGGAACTACCTGATAGGGAATTCAAAGCTCTTAATGTTCAAGAGTATACAAGAGATGATGGAAAAAGCAGACAAAAATGAGGAAAAAATAGACAAAATCATGGAAAATACAGACAGAATCATGGAAAAGAGAGACAAAACAATTGAAGAATTCAGGAAAATAATACAGGAACAAAATGTCAAAATAAGCACACAACTAAAAATCATACAAAAACAAAAATTAGAAATCCAAAAGATAAACAAGATTTCAGAAATGGACAGCATCATAGAAGGTTTAAGGAGCAAGTCTGAAACAATGGAGGGCAGGATCAGCGAAATTGAAGACAAATCCTTGGATACCACTTTGTTTGAGGAAAAATCAGAGCAAAGAACAAAGAAAAATGAAGAAACCCTGAGAACAATGTGGGATACAATCAAAAGCAAAAATTTGCATGGGATTGGAGTTCCAGAACAGGGGAGAAAATGGAAAACACAGAGGATCACTCAAGAATTGCTGACACAAAACTTCCCTATTATCATGAAAAACAAAATGCTGACCATTCAAGAAGCTCAACGAACCCCATATAGGATAGACCCCAAAAGAAAATCACCAAGACATAGCATAATCACACTCTAAAACCAAAGACAAAGAAACAATCCTGAGAGCAACTCTAGAAAAACGAAAAGTCACATAAAAGTCTAAACTCTGATTACTTGGCAGAAACCATGCAGGCAAGAAAGCAATGGGATGACATATATAAAACCTTGAAGGAAAAAAATTTGCCAACCAAGAATAATATATCCTGCAAAACTCTCACTCAAATATGATGGCAGAATTAGGACATTTCCAGATAAACAGAAGTTAAGGGAATATGTAACAACCAAACCAAACTCACGAGAACTATTAAAGGCAGTCCTTCAGTTAGAGAATCAACAACATCAGACAACAGCCTGAATCTACGACGCAAGACTGCATCAGCCAAATACCAACCTAGATAACGAACTCTCAAGGATAAAACAAAACTGAAAGATTTACAACAGGGAACCAGAGAGGTTAATCTGTTAATGACAACAACATCAGAATAATAAAAGAGGGAATAAACGGTGTAGGTATAGAACCTTCAAATGGAGAGGAAGTCAAGGCAATACCAAGTAATAAAAGACTGGTTTAAACTTAGGAAGATGGGGTAAATTCAAGGTTACCACAAAGAAAGTTAACAAACCTCATCAAAATAAAGAAAAAAAACAAAGTCTCAGTAAAAACAAAATCTACAAAAATCAAAAAAAAACCAAACAAACCCACAAACAAAAGGAATTCAGCACAGGAGAGTAGGAGGAACATAGAAAACATCAGCACCACAAAAAAAAAGCACTACAAAACGGCAGCAATAAACTCACACCTCTCAATAATTCCACTGAACATAAATGGCCTAAACGTGCCCATGAAGAGACAGAGTGTGACAGAATGGACAAAAAAAACAGGACCCATCAATATGCTGTCTACAAGAGACACATGTTAGAACAAAGACATAAATATATTAAAAATCAAAGGATGGAAAAAAATATACAAGCAAACAGCAATCAAAAAAGAGCAGGAGTGGCAATACTAATCTCAGATAAACAGACTTTAAAACAAAATCTATCACAAAGGACAAAGAAGGGCATTATATAATGATTAAAGGGACAATCCATCATGAAAACATAACCATAATAGATATCTACGCACTCAATGACAGGGCTCAAAAATACACAAAACAAATTCTAACAGCATTCACCCGACTGAACCCAGCACAACTAGATGGTGCCTGGCTACCACCACCAACTGCTCTGACAGGGATCACAACAGAGGGTCCTAGACAGAGTTGCAGATAAATGCAGAACAAAATTCTAACTCAAAAAAAAAAAAAAAAAGACCAGACTTACTGATCTGACCAAGACTGGAGAAACGCCAAGAGTATGGCCCCTGAACACTCTTTTAGCTCAGTAAGGAAGTCACTCCTGAGGTTTACCCTTCAGCCAAAGATTCGAACAGGCTCATAAAATAAAACGAGACTAACTGGGCACACCAGCGCGGGGCAAGGACGAGAAGGAAGGAGGGGACAGGTAAGTTGGTAATGGTAATAGGGAACCTAAGGTCGAGAAGGGGAGAGTATTGACATGTCATAGGGTTGACAACCAATGTCATAAAACAACATGTATGTTAATTGTTTAATGAGAAATTAGTTTGCTCTGTAAAACATTTAGGTTCAATAAAAAGAAAAAATTAAAAATGAAAGAACAGTCCTTGGGTAGGGGGGAAAAAGAAAAAAAAGCTTGTATATCAATGTTTATAGCAGCTTTATTTGTAATAGCCCAAAACTGGAAACAACCTAGATGTCCTTCAACAGGTGAATAGTTAAACTGTGGTACATCCATACTATGCAGTACTACCCAGCAATAAAAAGGAATGAGTTTACTGATACATGCCAAAAACCTCAATGAATCTTCACAGAATTATGCTGAGAGAAAAAAAGCCAATCCAAAAGCCCACATACATACGGTTTCATTTATATAACATTCTTGTAATGACAAATTATAAAAATGGAGAAGAGATAAGAGATTGTCAGGGAGAGGATAGGTGCAGGAGAAAAGCAGGTATTGCTATAAAAAGGCAACATGAGGATCCACTGCAGTGATAGAAATGTTCTATATGCTGACTGTATCAATTTAATATTCTGGTTGGGATACTGTACTAGAGTTTTATAAGGTGTTGCCATCGGGGGAAACTGAGTAAAGGGTACATGCGACCTATTTGTATTATTTCTTACAACAGTATGTGAATCTACTGTTATTTCAAAATAAAAACCTTAATTAAAAGAAAAAATAGGCAGCAGGCCATATTTGGTCCACAGGCTGTAGTTTACCAAGCCCTGTCTTACAGCCTTAGCTTCATACCTACAAAATGAAGGTTAGATTAGATTCTCTCTCTCAATTCCCTTCTACCTTGGATTTTCCCAGACTCTTTGAGTTGAATATTTTCTGCAGGTGACATTAACTTAAAAAAAGCCTATACAAAAAAGTGGAAGTAGCCACTGCCACCCCAGAGGGTCTGTTCCTTATGCCTACTCCTGTATCTTTGATTCTTGTAACCTGGGGCATTATCAGATCTCCTTCCACAAAGGTCCCACCCTGATGTCTGCCACATGAGGTTCCCTAATACCTGAAACTCCCAGCTGCTAGTAATTAGATCCAAGAATATTATTAAAATGGGTCAACTTTTATCTTTTATTAATAGGTTCCTGTGTATCTAACTTTTGTTTCCTTGGCAATACACTAAACAAGTGAACCTTTAGAACACAATCCTTTTTTTAATGGTAGTGACAGGAAGTTTGCTTTTTAAGTAAAATTTTCTGTTTTTACTAAAATTGTTAACATATAAAATGTACCATACTGACAAAAGAATATTTATAACGTATGCAATTATGGTTTTAAAAAGAATAAATGAACATCCTTGTACCTGCCACTCAGAAATGTATGTCCCTTTCCAATTACATCCCCCTCTCCATCCTAGTGATAATCACCATCAAAACTTTTGTATTTCTCATTCCCTTGTTTCATTTGTAGTTCACACATAAGCACCCCTAAAGAATATACTATTTAGCTTTGTACACTTTTGAACTTATAAAACTGGAATTTACTGTATATCACAAATTCATTTTTAAGTCAGAGACTGTTTACACATAGCCAATCCAACTTTTCAGTACGAAAAGCTACAAACAAAACATATTCAAAGCACTGTATTAAACATAGTTAAAAACTGAAACATTTTAAAATCATATATTCACCTTAGATATCTTCAATTTTCCCAAAACTTAATCCTCCATGTATCCTGTACAGATTTACTAAGACTTCAAAATGCTAAAGGAACACGTGGCAGATGAGATCCATGAGAAAGCTAAGCTACTGGGTACAACAAGAAAAACAGACTGATGGCACAAGAGTACTGCTATAACTTAAAGAAAAGTATTAAGAATGATAACAAAGTGAAGCAGATGACTACAGGCAGGGATATACCTAACTGAAATACCCCAGGTCTTGCTTGGCCTCTTATCTTCTCAATATTTCCAACAATAAAATGGATGGCCAGTGCTAACAGTGTCGTAAGCTAACTCATGTCTTATCTAAAAAAGAATCCTATCTAAAAGTTGAGCTAAGACATGGCTACAACAGGCACAGCTTAAAGATAGCCTAAAGACATACCCGAGAGGTGAAACCACAGCAGGCCTGGAACAGGCTACAGACAGATCTAATTTTAAATACAAGTTTTGCAAAAACCTTAAACAGCCAAGAATCAGGTAGGAAGACAGGAAGAGTTAAAATGAGACTAAAGATAAGTGTAGAAAAGAGAATGTTGAGAGCTTGGCAAAAACAGGTTGAAAAAGTATCTGTAGGCTCAAGGACTTTGTAAGCCTATTGATAGAACACTAGCAGTATGTTTTATTACCTTTTTGTCTCTAAATCTTTCTTATATGTAATAAGAGAATTGTACCCAGAAGTATAAATGGCAAAATTCCACATCAATAAAGACTTATCTTTAAAAATAAGATATAAAAGGTCTATTTGACTTCACAAGATTTTATAAAACAAAAAAGTGTATCTGAAAATAGTCTACTCATTCTAAAAATCTAGAAATATAAAAAGGATACAGCATCCATAGCTATGAGATGAAATCTTCTATTTCTTGCTTCTTCCCTGTTAAAACAAATTTTATTTTAAGCGTATTTAAGTGTCTGTATTCTATTTAATAAAATTAAATCCCCAAATCCCTGAGTTCACAACATTTTAAACCAAGGAATGTAATTTACACTAAGGTACCATACCTATCCAGCAATTCGGCTGCAACTTGTTTATGTGCCACTTTTCCATGTTTTTCTTTCTGAAAAGGCTTTTTAAGCAGTAAGTCATCTTCAATTGTTCTGGTTTATTAAGAAGAAAAATTATTAAAAGAGTTAATTTTTTTTCAAAGGATTAGTGTTCCCTGATTCTTTATAATTTCATAATTGGAACGTGTTTTTAAGAATTCAAGTCTTAGCTTAAATAAGACTCACTGATCTTTAATAAGAATTTTACATCTTCTTAAATAGCTTAATTAATACCCTATTTTACGTAATGGCTATAAAATGAAAAAGATGAAACTAACAAAAGCATGGTTCTGGTGTCGGACCATCTGGGTTGCTGGGTTCGAATGCTTGCTTTGCCCCTTACTACCTACATAATCTTGGGCAAATTACTTAACCTCTTTGTGTCTCAATGTCCCTGTTTGTAAAGTAGGGAAAATGAAACTTTTGTTAATTGATAATTTGAAAAAAGAAGGGCTGATTATAGGTGATACAGATCATAGATGATCACTCCTAGTTATTTAGATAACTATAAACCTAGTGCAGAAAAAACTACCCAACTAGATTTGCTCAAGTTCTATTCTTACAAAGTAACATTTTTTAATGGAAAATATAAACCAAAAGGAAAAAAAAAAACCCATTGCTGTTGAGTCGATTCCAACTCACAGCAACCCTATAGGACAGAGTAGAACTGCCCAGTAGGGTTTCCAAGACTGTAAATCTTTACAGAAGCAGACTGCCACATCTTTCTCCCGAGGAGCGGCTGGTGGGTTCAAATCAACAACCTTACGGTTAGCAGCTGAGCACTTTAACCACTGCACCACCAGGGCTCCCTTCTAGAAACTGTAAAGCACTATAAAATATAATTTATTATAATTACGACTATTCTTTTGATTATGCATGAAGACTGAATACCCGACAAAAATGATTAGTCCCAGTCAGTGTATCTAATACATCCTCTCGATGTGAAATAATAAACCAATTTCTACAAGTTTGGTTAGTATGAAGCAGTTAACCACTACTGAGTTAATGAATAAAACCAAATTTCTAAGCACTGACAACTGAAAACAATGCCCCTAAACACAGCAACATCACCAAGATGTAGCCTCCTTACAAGGCCCAGACTTCATCTGTGGACCCCGTTTTGTTTTGCTTTGCTGTTTGTGCCTTCTTTAATAAAACATTCCATGAGCTCTTTCCCTTGGCCACTTAATCTTCTGATTTACATAACCATAAGACCTGTGCTGCATTATAATCCCATCCTCCACACTAACCTTATTTTAAAGTCAAGTACTGGCAAACAGACCACCAATCAAGCCCCTTCTTAGCTAAGACATTCACAAAAAGTCCTTGAGGTTGAATAAGAAATATATGCAATAGAGAGATCTGACAGCTTTAATTTCTTTCCTTCTTCCCCTTTCCATAAACCCCTTTACAGCATAAACATTATTTTCTTATTTTTTCACACAACTGTTCTCAAATTTTTAGTCAATTCATTACAGTTCAGTGAAATAAAAAAATACATTCAGTAGAGCATAGTTATCATCACGTGCAAACACAATCCAAAAACTTTCATAATTATTTATACCCCATCTCCAACTAGAAAGAATTGAAACACAGCTCAATAAACAATTATTTACCTCTTTTTCCTTTTGCTGGATTCTCCACACTGTTCCTCATCACTAAAATCAGAGTCATAGCCTCCATGACCATGCATCTGGAAAGGAGTAGAAAATCAGCGGCTTAGAATCTAAGTTGACAACAGTTCAGAAAATAGAATCATTCAAAAATAAGTTATCTTAAAAAGCCACAACAGTTTCAGAAGATCATCATGGGCAAACTGCTGTCCATGGGCTTTCACTTTGAAAGAAAAGACTTACCCTTCAGCAAATGCATCCATACACTGATCATTTTTCGCCTTTAATTATCACTACATCAACAAGGGAGGCTACTCGTTGACCTTTCTATTGAAAACCAGGTTTAGAAGCTACAATGTGACTGCACACAAAGTTCAGCAATGGTTCACTTTTATTTGACTCAGTAACAACAGTTGCTATGTATTTATTACCAACTCTGTTCAGACACTGTGCTAAGTACTTTACAAACAATTCTTCTAATTCTGCAAATTAGGATCTATCATCTCCATTTTATAGATTAAGAAACCAAGGACAACTAGATAGAGGTAATGGTTGCACAACATGGAGTGCACCATAAGCCACTGAATAATTCACTTTAAAATGGTTAATTTTGTTATGTGAATTTCACACACCCTTCCCCTCTCCCCCACAACAAAGAAAGGAACAAAGAAAGAAAGAACAATTCAAATTAAATGTCAATTTTACAAAGCAAATAAGCAGCTGGGCTGATCTACTTGATTCTAAAGTCTGTGATTTCAACTAGTCCAAACTGCCTCTATGGAATATACCAAAATTTTGAGTAGCTATATTCAATTAGAATTAGGCATTGAGAATTGTACCATATCAACTGATGAAAAATTTCCTGTTCTTAAATCTTTTTTCAACACATGTAAAGATCTCTACTTTTTCTCTTTAACTTGAGTTTCCTCAAGGTAAACTACTTTGCCCTTTGGCCTAGTCAGCTTAATTTTTTTTTCAGTTCATTTTTAAATTCTTAGAAATGTTGGAAGACCTCAGTTATCACTTTTTTTTTTTTTAAATTCATGGATTATATCAGAAAAATTTTCTGGTTGAGCATTAAACTGAATTTGGGACAAATATTAACAAGAGATGGATGGATTATTTGACCATTTGATGTCAAATAGATTGAAAGCTCAAAAATATTCTATTAAAATATAAAAAAGTCACATTTGGCAATGAGGGTTCCACCATTAACTATGATAGCTTTGCACCATACACGAACATTAATTCATATGGCTGGAAGGAACCAGACTAGATCAAATGACATATCAAATTTTTAAAACTTTAATAGTCACTATAGTAAATACAGTGTGAAAAAGAGGAAAGAACTCCCTCCCTACTTTGTAGCGCATTGGACCTAGGGCAGAACACATTTCTGGCTACCTTGAATAAGTCACTTCACCCTCCTGGGCTTCATCTGTTAAATAAGGTGGCTACATCAAATAATCATTAAATTCTATGTGATCTTTCTGTGATACTACTTTCCAAGTTCGGAGTATGGGTGTATGCCTCTTCTCCGCCCAAGAGAATTCTACAGAGAAGGCTCCAGCCAAGGTTGGAGGTGATGGTTAGAAGGCCACAGTTCCTAACCTTGCCGACATGTTACTGTCTTACAGACACACCTGGATCTCATGCCCCTTATCAAGTCAACTCCTTGCTCCAGCTGTGTTTTCACCATATCTACTCAAGCCACAGATGTACTCTTACTCCTTGTCCCACTTTTTTCCCATCTTGATGGGGGACAACCAGTGTGGAACTTAGAGACGTATCCTAATTTAAATCCCGGCTATGCACTCTACATTTGTCTTTTTTGAACATGTTCCTTAACCTCTCTGAGCCTGTTTCCTTACCTATAAAATGAGGCTAATAAGAGTACCCACCTCATAAGACTAAAGATTAAGTGTTACCACATATAAAGGGTTTTAGAAGAATGCCCTATAAATCAGAATTATTATCATCATCATCTTGTTCCCTCTCCCATTTCTTTTTTTCTCTGGCGGCTTCATCATTCCCATACCCATCTCAACTCAGCGGTTGTACTAAAAAGCTGTCACTCACTTCAGTCCAGGAATCAACTGTCAAAGGCCGAGAAAAAATCAAGAAGGGAGACGCTGGCTCTCTCCAGAATCTGTCATTTAAAAAAAAGAAAAAGATCACAATCAACTAGCAAGTTTCGAGGTACTTCTTCCCGTACCCAAATAGACCCAAGGTCCTCCTCACACAGCCCTTCCCGTCCTCCCTGCTATGCCAGGTTCTCCCCACCTCGTCGTTTCCTCCTTCTTTCCCCGCGGCTGCAGCGACGACCTACCGCCTGAGTGAGCCGCTGCAGAGCCACCTCCGTGGCAGACGCCGCGCAGTCTCGCCACAGCAGACGCCGCCGCTACCGCGGACTCCACACCTCCCCTACGGGTCCTGACAGGGCGCCGCTTCCGGTCCGGCTAGGACGCGTCCTTCACCTAATGGGCATCGTCCCAGGGCGTGCCGGCCTTGTGTTACAACCAGAACAGCCCCGGGAAACAAGGGCGGCGGGAGAACAGGGCCGGGACAGGAAGAAAGGCTTCCTGCCTTCGCGAAGCTGCTGCCAGGTTTTTTCCCGGACCTCTTCGCTCTCCCTTCTGCGGCGTCCAGCACCTACTACTGTGTGGCACTGCCCTGCAGATCATCCTACACCCCTCGTTTGAAAATATATTTTGCTTTAGAATAAACCCTGCCTGAATAGCACCTGCTGTCCGCTTTCTAGTAACCTTAGTAACGCCTCCTGAGAGCATCCTCGCGGTGCATGTCAGCCTCCGATCTGCCTTCTTCCCCACACCGGATAAAACAGTTCTCATAATTACAACAAAAATAACTTTCCATCGTTAAACCACCCACACAAAAGATACCATTCCAAATGCCTTGCTTGTGGCAGAGAAGCTAATAGAATTTTTGCGGAAAGGAAGAACACCATGAAAGGAAGTAGGCAAAATTGCACAGGGTCGCAGATTGTCTGCCGACCAAGGACCTGGCACGCATAAGAGATCCAAAATAGATCCTTAAAAAAAAAAAAAGAAAAAAACCAGCATGGGTAAGAAAAGTTAAATTATTTTAAGGTCCATCAGGTCCTCTTTGTTTTGCCCTTTCTACATTATGATGCCCCGCTCTGCTTTCCAGCTTAGTTACTGGGTTTGAATCTAATCTCCCTTCTGCATCACCAGCTATTTATCTTTGCTTCCTCCTCAGACCTACACGGTGCCTTGTAAATCACAAGCGCTAATTAAATACGTACTTGTCGAACTGAACAGGCAAGCCTCTGTCTTTTACTGAGGGCTCATTTTAGAGAAAACTTGACAATACACATTCATCATTTTACATCTTTTTGCACTAAATGGTAGATGACAGTTTCCTTATCTGTTCAAGGCTCTCTTCTATCCCTCTTAGGAAAATATAGACGCACCCTGCTTTTACCCAATGCAGTGGATGTGAGCTTGAAAAGCTGTAAGGTAAGTCTGATTATTGTAAATTCAATTATTTCAAAGTGTAACCAGATTATACTTCTATCAAAATGTTCATTCAAAATAATTTAAAGCAATAGGAAGCCTCATGATTTAACATGATACTAATATTGAATTACTTTGTCAAGCAGTTCCTTTTCTGCTAAGTGTCTTACATTAAGTTCTCTAGAGAAGTAAAAGCAGTGAAGCACATAAATATAAATGTATAGAGTGAGATTTATCTCAAGGAAATGGGTCACACGGTTGTAGAGGCTGGCAAGTCCCAAATCTGTGGGTCAGGCATCAGGCTGGAAATTTCTTCTGACTCACATGGTTGCAGGGGCTGACGAACCCACGATCAGCAGGTCAAAGGTAGACTGTTGGCTTACAGGGCTGGAGAAGCTGGCGAATCCCAGAAATGGCAGGTCAGTCGACAGACTCAAGTCCCAAGAACTGGAGGTCAGATGATGATGAGCCAGAAGCAGGATCAGAGCAAGCGAGAGAGTTTTGCCAGAATGTCCATATATATTGGTTGCAGGCCACACTTCTGAGAAAACTCCCCTTACAACCAATTGGCTAATCACATCAGATTACATTACAGAGATGATCACATTATATTGCTGATGGTAGATCACAAAATGGAGGATAATTACATCAGATCACAAAACAGAGGATAATTAGATAATATTGACAATCATGGCCTAGCCAAGTTGGCACATAACATTAACTATCATGGTCCACCCCTTGTCAGCTTGGCACCTGTACACATCTTAAACCATACATAATCCCTAAATAAAGACAATTATAAAGTCGTACTTGCACCTAACATCATACAATTAACATGCGTACAACTGAAAATGCACTAGCCCTGTTTATATCTTATATTTTATAAGTGATGGGATAAGGGAGGGAAGAAAATAAAACTATTTAAGATATATATGCATATATATGTGTCATGGATTGAATTGTGTCCCCCCAAAATATGTGTCAACTCGGCCAGTCCTGATTCCCAGTATTGTGTAATTGTCCACAATTTTGTCATCTGATGTTATTTTCCTATGTGTTGTAAATCTTACCTCTATGATATTAATGAGGTGGGATTGGTGGCAGTTATGTTAATGAGGCCGGACTAAATCTACAGGATTAGGTTGTGTCTTAAGCCAATCTCTTTTGAGATATAAAAGAGAGATGCGAGCAATGAGACAGGGGGACCTCATACCACCAAGAAAGCAGTGCCAGGAACAGAGCGTGTCGCTTGGACCCGAGGTTCCTGCGCTGAGAAGCTCCTAGACCGGAGGAAGATTGATGACAAGGACCGTCCTCCATTGCTGACAGAGACAGAAAGCCTTCCCCTGGAGGTAGTGCCCTGAATTCAGACTTCTAGCTTCCTAAACTGTGAGAGAATAAACTTCTGTTTGATAAAGCCATCCACCTGTGGTACTTCTGTTATAGCAGCACTAGATAATTAAGAAAATATGTGTGTATATATAGATATATGTACATATATCTATATATCTATATATACACGTATATATCTTGTCATCAAGACGATTCTGACTCATCGTGACCCTATAGGACAGAGTAGAACTGCCCCATAGGGTTTCCAAGGAGTGGCTGGGGGATTTGAACTGCCGACCTTTTGGTTAGCAGCCAAGCTCTTAATCACTGCACCACCAGAGCTCCGTGTACATATATATGTGTATATATGTGTGTGTGTGTGTGTGTGTGTATGTGCATGTGTGTATACATACACATATATATGAACACATATTCATATCCTAAAACAAGGAAGAAATACTCATAACAATTGCAGTCCTTGTTTCTGCAACTGGTCACTTGGTCATAATGGTATTTAGAACTACCTTCTTCCACCACCCATTTCATAGTCCCTTTACCCTCAGCAAACACATCAGCTGGTCGTGGTCCTTTGCTTGGTGGGGTGACCCACACCTTCATTTCTGAAGAGTCTGGGTCATTAGTAGTCATGTAGAAATTGGGTTGCTGTACTTTTCCATTGACTTTAATCACCGGGCATGTGATTACTAATACTAGAGACACCCTAAGGGATCTCTGGTAATCCAGACATACTCTTCTTTACCGCGATTATGTAGTATCAATCCAATTTCCGCTTGGTAATCAGGATCAATTACACCAGCCAATATAGTAACTCCTTTCTTTGTCTGCTGATCCAGAAGCATGAGGAACACAAAGTGGCTGGGTGGCATTCTTAACTTCCAGTTCAGTGGAATCACTGATGTGTTGCTAGGTGGGAGCATTCCTCCCTTTGGAACTAAGACCTCTAGACCTGCAGAGCATAGGGTCGTGGAGACAGTAAGCAAAAATTTTGTGACTGGGTCACTAGGGGAAATAGTGAGTGATGCCATTCCCATTTCCACCCCTTGATTTCTGGACCCATGAATTCTGACTGTGGAAGAAACAGCACCATATATTGGACACTGGTTTAGAGCATATAAAGCCTCCTGGAGAACATTGCCCGATGCTGCAAATTGTTACCATCTAACTGGTGCCACAATTGTGTCTTTAGAAGGCCATTCCATTGTTCTATCAGGCCAGCTGCTTCTGGATGACAGGGAGCATGATAAGGCCAGTGAATTCCATGAGAATAGGCCCATTGCTGCACTTCATTTGCTGTGAAGTGAGTTCCTTGATCCGAGGTGATGCTTTGTGGGATACCATGATGGTGGATAAGGCATTCTGTGAGCCTACGGATGGCAGTTCTGGCAGAAGCATTGTGTGCAGGGAAGGCAAATCCATATCCAGCATAAGTGTCTATCCCAGTAAGAATGAATCGTTGCCCTTTCCATGATGGAAGTGGTTCCATGTAATCAACCTGCCACCAAGTTGCATTCTGCTAGCCTCAAGGAATGGCGTCATATCAGGGAGTCAGTGTTGATCTTTGCTGCTGACAGATTGTGCACTCAGGAATGGCTGTAGCCAAGTCAGCCTTGATGAGTGGAAGTCCATGTTGCTGAGCCCATGCATAACCTCCATCCCTGCCACCAAGGCCATTTTGTTCATGATCCCATTGGGCAATGATGGGAGTGGCTGGGAAAGGAGGACAATGGGTTTCCACAGAACGGGTCATCCTATCCACATGATTGTTAAAATCCTCCCCTGTCAAGAACCCAGATGTAAATCCATCCACCTATGGTCACCTGATCTTCCACAAAGGCCCAAAGTCCATTAAATGGGGGAAAAGACCGTCTTTTTAACAAATGATACTGGCAAAACTGGATGTCCATCTTAAAAAAATGAAATAGGACATATAACTCACACCATACACAAAAACTAATTCAAAATGGATCAAGGACCTAAATATGAAACCAAAAACTATAAAGATCATGGAAGAAAAAATAGGGTCAGTGCCAGAGGCCCTAATACATGGCATAAATAGGATACAAACCATAACTAACAATATGCAAACACCAGAAAATAAGCTAAAAACCTGGAATTGTCTAAACATTAAACACTTATGCTCATCAAGACTTCACCAAAAGAGTAAAAAGAGAACCTACAGAGTGGGGAAAAAAAATTGGCTATGACTTATCCAACAAAGGTCTAATCTCTAAAATCTATAGGAAAATCCAACACCTCTACAACAAAAAGACAAATAATCCAATTGAAAAAATGGGCAAAGGATATGAACAGACACTTCATCAAAGAAGACACTCAGGCAGCTAACAGACACATGAGGAAATACTCAAGATCATTACCCATTAAAGAAATGTAAATCAAAAGCACAATGAGATACCATCTCACCCCAACAATACTGGCACAAATAAAAAAAAGCAGAAAATAATAAATGTTGGATAGGCTGAGGGAAGATTGGAACTCTTATGCTCTGCTGGTGGGAATGCAAAATGGTACAACCGTTTTGGAAAACGAAATAGAGATAGAAATACTGTACAATCCAGCAGTACCACTCCTAGGAATATATCCTAGAGAAATAAGAGCCATCACACAAATAGACAT